TTTTATAGCAAGAGGCCTCAAGTAGTTATATCATTAACTAATTCCAGATCATAATTTTGGTTTTACGCTAGCTGAACCTGAACATCAGACTAGTTAATAAACGCGCTCGCAATTCCATTTATATGCGCCCTCTGCCCTGTGATATTGCATGCATTATTAGAATTAATTATCATTATTGTACAGAGCCTGTCTGTTTACTTCAAAATTGTAAACATTATTTTATCTTTTCAGGAGCTCAACGAGATTCTGGACAGCATCCGCCTGAAAGCAACCTATGAAGTCTAGCCTTTGTTTCACACACAGGAACCCACGCTCCTTCGTACATGTATATTTATTATATGAAAACTCAATAAAAAACTTTTGTAATTTTGTTTTTCACTTTGTTACGAAGTTATTATGATAAGGATAGTAGTAATCATAATGGAAAATGGGTTAGTTTTAGTGTTTGAGGACTTTCAAATTCAATCTGATCTGTAAACAATGTCAGTGTTTTTGTGGTTGGCGGTTTTTATGTGGTACCTAAATTTTAAATAGTTGTAAAATAACCAGTATTTTCTAAATTACCCCTCCAAGCTGTTTTAGCGCACGGAAATAAAATATCTAAAATGGTTTCCAACAACCTACATTTTATAGTTAAAATTTATATAAATTTACAATCCTGGTTTTTAAAAAAATCACGAGATTTTTGTTCTATGGCATATGGAACTAATTCGTTTGGATATAATTTTTTCTATATTTTCTTATATAGGGAGGGTCCAATTTTGACGGGTTTTGGCTTTTGATTGTGAATTGTTTTAATTTGGCAGCCTGTTCTTCGTATAAATACTTTATTTGATATTTGAACATAATAATGAAAAGGTGGGATGATTCTGATGTAAGCTTAAATCAAGTTTTTTTTTAATGGATCAGCAGAAATTGGCCAAATTTTTTTATTTCCGAGGACAAACAGAACAATCTCTTCAGTTCCTGTTCTCTGAACCAAATTTGAATAATTACAAGACTCGCCCCACCTGTCACCCCNGCCCCACCTGTCTCCCCTTCTAATGCAATGGACTCGCCCATCCTGCCACCCCTCTAATGGAATGGAATACCCCCACATAAAACCCCTTTATTTGGAATCGAGTCGCCCCACCCGACATCCCTCAGATGGAGTGGACTTGACTAAACCCCTCCAATTGAATGGACTCCCCCAACTTGTCTATCAGATTACCGTGGCGTGCTATTCAGCCTTACTTGCTTCAGTCAAGTCTTCACTGCTAAACCTTTTCACTACTCCTGTGTTAGCTGACCTTGTAAGCAATTCATTAGAATGAATTTTCTAAAATGAAGATTAAACAATCCATTAATTCATCACAGACGTCAATCAACTATCAGGATCACTTGAAAACACCTTTTTAATAATTTTGATAAACCTTATTACATAATTGAAGTCTATTTTTATAGTTAAAAAAAAAAGCATTTTATCATGTCGATCGGTAATATCGGGTAGGTACCGACTGCCCGAGGGTTCTAAAATCCTCAGCGCCCTAGTCGCCGACTAACCCCACCCCAATTAGTAATCAGCCACTAGGTGTAGTTAAGACAGCGTATGACGCAGGCTTGATGCCCAATTTTATACCGAGAGCGTATGGCGCGACTACTGCTTGCTGTATTGGTAAATATAACCGACACATATTTTTAAAAAATTTTATAACATTGTTAAAAAGTTTTAATACAAGATGTGATGATTTAAGTTGTGCAAATTGTAGTGGTGCAAAGTATGAAATCCTTTGTTCATGTGTTTTTGCCAGAATTAACAAAAATGTATAATTTGTAGGCTAAATTTCATCAAAATCTATGTAAGTTAATACAACTTGCTGCCAATGTTCCTTGTATCAGTGCTGTTGACAGTGGCATTGTAGAACGTTAGAATATCGTTATCTTAACACTTGTTGATGGTCTTACCAATATATAGGCCTAATCCTGCTAACAAAACGTTCTGTGAAGGTTGGGTATACGTTACCTTCATTATTTTGCATGTGTTAAAACATTTATTGACAAGAGACCTATTATCTATGAAAAAGGGGGGGGTAAGGTCGGCTTCGCATCCGCGGACCCGCCCTCAATTAATCCTGGATCCGCCCCTGCTAGCGTTCCACAGAGCCTGTGGCCAATGATTATCTTAACTCTCTAAAACCAGGCACAAGATTCACCTATGGGGGAGGAGGGTCAGCCAGAACTGGTGGAGCTCCACCTACACTCTGAGTGTAATTAATATTGACGCATTAAATATCATTTGTGATGCAAAGAATCTTATAAAAATTTTAACAAAATGTAAATTGTTTGAGAGGGTCGTTTCACCAAAGAAAGAGGGAAAAAAAGAAAATCAATTCTCAAAACTCACCCCTTACCCCAATAATTACACTGAGTGCATTTCATTTCTTTGTTAATTTTTCTATTTTTATGTCTATGTTCTTTTCATTCGGTTTTTAGCGACCTACATCGGTTCATCTTGGAAAAAATAAACTACTTACATATTTACGACTTTTGGATCTCCTAGTTTCATGTGTATGGGCCCATTTGTCAGAACGCAAGCTTCGATCTCTTTCTGTAAAATATTTCTGTCATTATGTACTTGCACGGGATTGAGTCAAAAGTATTAAATAAAGAAGCAGTCAGCCTGAGCAGTGCAGGAAAATTAGGAAAGATACCCTGTGCAATATCCTACGTTTTCAGATGTATTTTTATTAAAAAATACTGGCTAAAAAATTGTGCAAATTATGAAATATGGCGTATATTCCTAACATTGTCATGGAATGCTGTAAATAAGGATCATAATTATAGGGCATCATTCTGGAGATGTTTTGTTCTTGCAAGACGCAGGATATCTCAAAATATTTTGACAGAATTAAAATTAAGGTTTCAGGATGTACATATAGCAAAGCAAAATTTGAGGTAATTGTTTAATGACAATTCAAAGTTTACTTGGATGAAAGGGATCCAAACAGGTTTGCACTGGTATTTACAGAGCCATATAATATCAGCTGTGATGTGGTTTTATCTGCACATACACTGTACAGCTGTGTAGATAAAAACTATCATAATAAAATTTTATATTTAAATTTCTGTACGAGATTTGGCTGGGCAATAGAATTAGAATTTAACCTTTTTTGTTCTCAAATAGAGTCTAAACAAGAATTCAATTCAATATTTTCAGCACAGGTGCACTGTTTTAGCTGTATTTTGCAGGATATGAAAACTTAAAATATTTATAGCCAACAATGACGATGTTTGCCACTCTCCACTCTCTGGGTTTACTCTAGCTAGCTTTCTATGATAGGGGTTCAATTATTGATATACTCCTCTCCATCTCCATACAGCACATAGTGGTTTTCAAATGATGTCAATTTTTTCAAAATTCTAAATATTTGATCACATTTTGCGTAAATCTGAAAATTGTCGATTTTGTGCGATTTGAATGTTTTTGATAAGTCCCGGCTATGGCAGTTTTTTAATAATTTTTCGCCCAAAATGTAAGATTGTTATTTTGGGTCATTATAGTGACTGGTAGGTGTGTTTCATCATTTTTAGTTATTATTAAGTACCGGGATGGTGGTTTTCTCAACATTAAGGATTAAATAAAGAAAAAACTGAACCTACTCTCGAGCCCCTGCTGTCAGCAATGCTAATTAAAAATTGGTAGTGATTATGCTATTAATCATTATGAAATATTCCATTAAATATGACTGAAAAAACTACGTTCTGAGTGCCACCACAACCGTTATGTAAAGAGTATTATTTATTATTTTGTAACTTAGAAGAATTATTCTTAAGATTAGCATACAGCTTAGATTTGAAAACCAACTTGATTGGATTATCATTTTTTATTGAATTTATGCATTTTTTTTAAATTTTTCATTTATCTCTTTCTGGGATTTTGAAAGTTCAAACTTGAACTCTTCTGGGTCTGAAGTCTTATGGTAGTTATACATTTACTTACATCCGTATTATTTGTTGTGCATAATTACCTCCGCCAAGGAGGTTATGTTTTCACCCCTGTCTGTTTGTCATCAACATAACTCAAAAAATTATGGATGAATTTCTATGGAATTTTTAGGGTAGGTCAGAAATGGGTCTACTTAGAAGTGATTAGTTTTTGGTGGTGATCCGGATCAATAATCAATCAATAATCAAAAATATCGAAAATTTGGGGGTGAAACGGCATTGGATGGAGACTTTGCTGTTTTCCCTAATTGCTGTAGTGAAATTGGAGATTATTCGCTCAGAACAATTTGTTAACTCAGTAATGCTCCTGTTATTTCACATGATTATTTGTCATTTCCTTATTTGGTTGTTTGTTGGTTTATTTTCCGATTGTTTTTGTGCTTACGGGGCTGGTTTAGGATATTGTCACCCTTTGACCAAAAGTTTTTATTTAGTTCCCCAAAAACCCTGCCAGCTATTTTTTTAGTCTAAGTTCAGATTTTATCGTTGATTAAGCAAAATAATGCCTTAGTTTAATGAAATTCTGTAATTCGGGGCTCATAACTCCACAACGGAATATTTAAACCAAAATGACGGCACGCGAGAATCTTGTAGCCTACACCATGGTGGTCAACTCTGCCAATTTTCGTGCTAAAATCTTGTTCAGGGTACATGCTGTTTGCTAACTACCCTCAAAATAGCTGTTCAAGTGACGATTAAAGCTTTAAGTTGTCTATAAACGCCGACGTTTTATATTTTCGTTTTTTATAGTTTTAAATCAGCAATAAAGACACCAATATTTTTTGCTTTTAAAATCCCTTTTTAATTATCTTTTTTATATAACAAATATCCGATAAATGGCAAAGTACAGTAACGATAAACGCGTGTGGCAAATCAAAGTATAACAAAATATACAAAAGGAGCCATTTTAGTTTTCCGTCCCAGGATGAGCACATGGGGTTATTATTGACCGTGTGTGTTAACGATGTCGTTTTCCAAACTACAGGAAAAGCTTGTCTTGCATAGTATTGACCCTACCAATGACCTTGAACTACTTTCACTGTTGTTTGATTCGGAAAGGTGGTTCCTGTACTGTGGAACTTATTTTGTAAGTGAAATGGCACTTCTTTCGACTTAGGCTAAAGACTGACTTATTTAACTGTGGGGTTCAAATCAGACGCAAAGGGGGACTTTCACTTTTTGAAATACTCTTGATAGAAATCTTTGTAGTGGCAACTACCGAATTTCTAACAAAACAAGTTGAAAGTCATGTGATAATGCCTACACTGATATAAATAACACCACTGGCACTGCAATAACACTGTGCAAATGTGCGATAGATAACATTTTACATCGCTGTTAATTAAACGGTAAATGTCTCAAATTAGTATTTAAAAGAAAGTTTGTCGCTGAATAATTAAGTGAATTTGTAAGCCAGATGAACAGGCTAGATAACATTCATAAATGTTTATATCGTGCTTGGACCTAAAATCTCTATTAAGGTCCAAGTATCGTGCAATGCACGTGCTGTACCACAGCTGTACGTGTACTAATTTCTACTCGGGGTACAATGTAGTAGTAGCTTGCATAAGCTCACGTTAGAACTTGTAAGTTTTTTTTTTCTGTGAATTACCATGGCATTAAAAATATTACTTACTTATCTTCCTCAAGCCATGGTCAGCTCATAAGGCTTGTCAGCATCCTTGCCATTTTTTCAGCTTCACCCCCTGTCTGCCACCCTAATTCATTTTGCTCAGCTTCAGCACTCCATAAAAAATACAGCAGAAGTCAAAAGCTGAGGCAAAGGTTTGGGCTGTTTACAATTTCATTTATACATTTATTAAAATTTATAAAGCTCATAGCAAAACACAACAAAATTTTTTCCTTTAAAAATACATAACTTTTTTAAATGGAACAGATTGGATATATTTAATTCATTTAGTATGATGTACTGCATTTGCTCTTTTTTAAAATAATGAAAGTAAATGCTTTTCATAGTTTAAAAATATTTGTAACGTAGTAGTACTCCATACATTTTGGTGCCTGAACTATCCCAGCACTCTATATGCATGCGCATTGTACTTACATAGGACTTTGTACGTGCTTTTTCTCTTTTCAGGTTTTGGATACTGATAACAAGCTACAAGCTATTGTTTCGATAATCACGACCCTGTTATAGGTACATGTACCAGTATAGCCAGCATTACATGCTGTGTGCTAGTGCATCCAGAATGCTGCTTATGTGCTGTCTAAGTCTCCTGGCTGTACATTGTGTATTACTCGGGACCATAAGTGCTTTGCCTGCAGATGCTTCATTCTATAAACAACAGATGTTGAATGGATTTCATCCACAACAGAAAACAGATACCTGTGGATACAAGGTAACCAATATTTGATATGGTACCAGTACATTGAAAAAAAGAAAAAAAAGATATGTACTAATGAACAAATGAACAAATGAACAAATGTTTGCTTGACATACAGGGAGAATAGATGTGCTGTCATGTGTCAGTTGCTGTAAATCTGCCATTGACCTATGGACCTATTGTGGTCTTTACACATTTAGTTTATTGAAGATTGCTTACTTAACTCATATTGGAGTCATTATATTAAGAATATAGCACTGCAGGCTCAATATTAGTCGAATGTGAGTAGATATAAATATATTTGATTTCAACAAATCACCTCGTTCACAATTTTTCACAGGGAAAATAAATACTATGTGACAAACTAATTCATTAATGTGAAATACCAGTGCAAGAAAACACTTTTTTCAATACCACTCATTAAATTTTCAACTATATGTAGCCTCTTTACTGGCAGATATACACAATAAGTAACTCTAGTTTAATTTTTATGATCATGACTCCCGTATTTTGTTGTTTGTGATGAAATTCATGTACCATCTAGGGCTGGTCACCTTGTGAAGGGCATGTCTAGGCAAATGTGATAGAAAACATAACACCACATAATCAAATCAAATTATTGTTTCCTGATATGATAAGGGAATGGTTCTTATCAGTGTACTGAATTCTGTCTGATTAGCACAGTGATAAATATGCCTTTCAGTTTAAAACAGTTAATGATTACTAAAAGTTATTTGGGATTTGTGTTCCCATAATGCAATGAAGTATTTATAATGTGATAATGTGTTGTTGTACAACTGCATGTGCTTCTCTCTCTCTCTCTCTCTCTCTCTCTCTCTCTCATATACATGTACATAAATTATTCCTGTATATATATTTTCAGTCCTGTAATCTTGGCAAGGATGGGATGATAAATGTACATTTAGTGCCACATACACATGATGATGTGGGCTGGCTCAAGACTGTTGACCAATACTTTTACGGTGGTATGAAAGTCTTTTCAAACTATTTTATCTGATTTCTTGAATGTACCAGTCACCTTCTGCATTTTTTCACCTTTTAGTTGAATGTGTCTGTAATCGAGTTTGAATCATCTTACTTCATATTTGCATAAGTTGGAGTTGCTTGTTAGTCAATTTGCTGTTTAATTGTGTATTAAGATAAATTTAAGTAAATTTCCTTAACTGACAGTATAACAGTGTGATACTTGTCCTTAAAAGTAACAATATGATCTGTTTTATGTTTAAGCTAACAACACCATCCAGCATGCTGGTGTGCAGTATATCCTTGATTCAGTGGTTGAGGCGCTGGGAAAAGATCCAAACAAGAGGTTTATCTATGTAGAGATTGCCTTCTTCTATAGGTGGTGGAATGAGCAGGATGACCCCACAAGGCACTTTGTGAAGGGATTGGTGAACCAAGGTAGGACATTGATGTGCTGCTTAGTCAGTGTTTTTCCTCAATTATTTGTGATGTGTGACATGGTTTTACTTAATAGCAATAGCTGTGTTTGTAATTTTGCTGAAAAGTTTACACTGGGCCAGGCAGTAGTCGAATGAGCGTCATTAATTAAGAGAAGCAGATACTTTTATATACTAATGAAAATAATGATGATGAATATTAATGATGTGTAAAAAATTACCAAAATATATGGCACTTCATTCATGTCTCAGTGCTGTTTACATATTCAACATTAAAGAATGAAGTTAAGGTTAAATTACTTTACAATTAAAAAAACAAGAAAGCTGTGTATTTATTGGCTATGAATGTAAAGTTAATTATGATATATTGCAAGTCTTTTATGAACACTATTTTTTTTTTAATTTGAAAAAAAAAATATGTCAGCATCATTATAGTAAGGATTGAACTGTCGGTGGGTCCATGGTGGTCCACATTTAGAATAGAGGGATGATAAGCAAATTGCATTTAGATATTAGCTTAACCATTTAAAAACTTTTTCGAAAAATTAAAGATTTTAATGCCAGAATTATCACCTTCAGGTAGACTGGAGTTTATCTTGGGAGGATGGTGTATGAATGATGAGGCTTCTACTCATTATAATGCCATCATTGACCAGCACACAGAAGGGTTCCGCTTCCTGGAGACTGTATTTGGAGACTGTGGAAGACCCAGAGTGGCATGGCAGATTGATCCATTCGGACACTCTAGAGAAATGGCGTCTCTGTTTGCTCAGGTGAGTAGTTGCAGATCCATATTTGGCAATAGAATGTAAATTTTTGAGGGAATAAAATATTTTAAGGTGTTTTATCCTTTCAACTAGTACAAGATTTAATCCTGACTTATATTTTAATGTTTATTAGTAATTCAACATACTTATATTTTTGACATTGAATAATACCATGCTTATGTTTTTTATTGTTATTTTAAGAACTGTGATAGTGGTCACCTAGTAACTAATGTATATATTTTAGATTTTAGCAAATAAGTCACCACCATTATCTGAATTAATTTGAATAATTTTGAATAGCTGTTTTACCTGCAAAACGACATGCAATGTAGTTAAACTTACAATGTAATAATAAGGAAATAAATCACTACTGCATCATTGATCATTTGCCAACATGACTAATAATAATAATTAACTGTGAAGTCCAAGTTGCAATCTTTTTGTTATCAAGGTTTGTATTTGCACTTTGCAGTTGTATGTTATGTAATGATTATTGTTTTAGATGGGATTTGATGGACTCTACTTTGCCAGACTAGACTACCAGGACAGAGCAGTGAGAGAGAAGGATAAAAGAATGGAAATGGTGTGGAGAGGCAGTCCTCAAAATCTAGGTGTGTGTGATCCATGCCTTCGAATAACACTTGGTTGTTATTTTCTAATTTTTAGCCACAGTTAACATTTTACTTTATCTTTTTATGGATTATGCAGACATGAGCTTTTTCTGCAGATACGCGGAATTCCGCATTTTTAAAATTCAATTCTGATGGTTCCTGAGATTCGTCAAGATCTGCAATAAAATTTGACATGTACAATGTTCAGAGGTTTTTTTTTTAACCTAGGCTCATGTCTGGTTATATAAGCTGATATATTAAATCAGAATTTAGACTATGTAACAGTGGGGCAAATATGTTATCTTATGGACAACCTTCAATTAAACTGTATAGGTACTGTAGCAGACCTGTTCACTGGTGCTCTAGCCAGAGGAAATTATGGACCACCTGGTGGCTTCTGTTGGGATGTCCATTGTAATGATAACCCTGTGCAGGCAAGTCTGTTGGCCACTGGGAAATTTTTTTTTTTTATTTTTCCAAGAATATCTATTTAATTTAACGATATTTAAATCTACACAAATGCAAAGTTTTCCTGTATGCAGTATGTTAATCATAAAAAAAGCACTGCATATTCTCACATGGATTTGAGTTTAATCAATATGCCGTGGTTGAAATTTAATTTATTTAATACCCTTTCCAGAACTAATTGCCAGTTTGAGATACCTACCCATGTCAGTATTGAACAAGTCCATGTTTTCTTGATGTTGTAGGATGACAAACGGTTACATGACTATAATGTTGATGACCTTGTGAAGAAGTTCCTTGCCACCACACAGGAGCAGGTGAGTTTAAACTTTGAATGACTTGTGGTTCAACAAGCATTTTATCTTTTTGATTCCTTACACATTATTTTCATATATATATGATTATTAAACAAGCCATAAAGCACACAGCATGAAAGTATTTAGCTTTTGTTTGATAATTATCAGATATGATCCAACTACCAAGCTAATGAACATTTTTGCTTATTTTCATATAGTTTCAGAAGGTCAGTGAAAAGAATTTTGACAGCCCTTGAATGCATTCACTTGTCCTCCTTGCTTATATTCTTTATACTCTGAATATTTACATTGAAAAAGATTACAATTCCATTCTTAACATTTACTTTTGTTCCAGGCCAAACAATACCAAACCAACCATCTGATGTGGACCATGGGCTCTGACTTCCAGTTTGAAAGTGCTCACCAGTGGTACAAGAACCTGGACAAGCTCATAACTTACGTCAATGCTCAGGTACCATTTTACTTTTTAATATGATATGATGTATTAATGAAAGTTTCCAGGGATACAGTGTTGCTGTTTTAACATATCCATGTAAGATCTCTTTTATTGAATTGTCATTTTTGACGTGACATTGTTATGGGCTGTGTAGATTGTATTCAAAATCTTATACTGACATTAAAGAACATTCTTTACTCAGCGGTAGTAACATACTAATTGTCACGGCATCAATATTAAAATCCCTCTATGGGTTTAAATTGTACAATTTTTCTGTCTTATCTTTTTAGCAAGCCAATGGGAGCAAAGTGAATGCTCTGTATTCCACCCCATCTTGTTATACCTATGCCAAGAACCTGGCTAATGTAACCTGGACAACCAAGGAAGATGACTTCTTCCCCTATGCTCATGTTGATCATGGGTTCTGGACAGGCTACTTCACCAGCAGAGCAGCTCTCAAAGGATATGTCAGGTGGACCAACAACTTTTTGCAGGTATGTTTGACCCTGCAGTTATGGTTGTTCTTGCAGGTATTATTGACCTCATTGCAGTGATAAGTGAAGTGAGAGTACAGACAGGTTTTGGAACCTATATAAAGAAATTCTTCTACAATATTGATTTTTAAGAAAAATAACTAAAGATTAGTTTTTTATCGTACTTTCAACTGATAAAAACTGATGGGATTGTAATTTTGGAAGGGCTGTAGTGTAATGCAAGTACATATTCTCAATATTCCCAGGGAGTGAAACAGTTGGACATTCTGTCAAAGCTGGATACCATGGATAACAGTGAAATAAAACTAAGAACACTCAGTAAGTTGAAATTATGCACACCGTTATTATTTTTATGTTTGTTTTAGGGAAAGGATCACTTTAAATAATCAATGTTTACCATCTCAACTCAGAATTGTTGTTAGTTATATTTTGTGGTGTCAAAGTGTCAGTAATCAAAGTACTTTTTAACAATATTTTTAATAGAATCAAAGGAGATGATATAATATATCCTACAAAATATAATTTTCAGTATTCTTTTACATTATTCCTTATATCTAATCTTAGGGCAAGCAATGGGTGTTGCTCAGCATCATGATGCAGTGAGGTAAAAACTGGATTTTATTTGTTTTTGAAAAACTATGGGTGTGATTGTAACTTAAATCCATCAAAGATATTATGTAGGTACTAATGGTGCATATAGATCTTGGTTTATATTGTTTATAGTGTAGGTTATATATGCTATAAATATACTGTGTATGTGGCTTGTTTATGTCATTTCAGTGGTACAGAGAAGCAACATGTTGCATATGACTATGCTATGAGACTTTCAGAGGGGATTAGCATGTGCCAGGTAATTGTTTGTAATTATACTGCTATATCCGATGTTAAAACAATGTGGACTTCCTTTTCATGTGATTTATTAAGGTCTGTTTATACATTCATGAATATGTCAGTTACAGTACAATAGATAAAGGGACTGCAGAAACTTTACTCAGCAACCTTGCCTTTTATTTAGATAATGATCAAAGAATCAGAAAGAAACAGGCCCGTAGCCAGCAATTTCAAAAGGGTGGGTTAGTTTTCTAAAAAAAAGCAGACCATTTACCATGAAATCTTAGTGTACCTAAATCAATTTTTACTCAGAGCATACCTTTTTCCAGCAGAAAGGTTGGTTTCTTCGAACCCCCGAACCCCACCTGGCTACTAGCCTACAATTAATGCTAATTAACACCTTTTTAGGGGCATCATATTTTTAAGAATAACAACATGAAATGTTACAGGAAGTGGTAAATGATGCATACAAGAAATTGCTTCCCAAGAACAACAGTGCTACTCCTCCTGTTCAGATGTTCTGTACTCTCACCAACATCAGCATGTGTAATGTCACTGAACTCCTGAAAAGGGTAAGAAACACATGACACATACTCTTTAGGCTGCAGAACTCGTCTTAGATAAAACTGGTGAACATTGGAATGATGCATATGTATATTGAACAGGTTTCAATGTATCCCAGTTATACAGAGTTTGCTATATCTCTAACTAGAACATTGTGAAGATTGTAAGCATATAGGGAAGACTCCAATGCCATGATGGAATATTTAGAATGAATAAAACAATTTATTTCAAAGTATTTGTTATCAGTTGTATAGTTTTATTATTATCATTAGTAGTAGTAGTAGTAGTAGTAGTAGTAGTAGTAGTAGTAGTAGTAGTAGTAGTAGTAATGGTAGTAGTGGTAGTAGATGTTTTTGTTGTATTTTATATTGTTATAACAATTATTTTGTAATATATTTTGATAAAATTATACATGTAGCAACACATAATAACATCAATCCCTATTTTTTCAGTTCACAGTCACAGTGTATAATCCCATTGGACGCCCTGTGACCACCTGGTTAAGGCTCCCTGTACAGGGGTCAGCTTACACTGTGATCGGCCCAGATGGCAAAAATGTACCTGCTCAGGTAAACATTGAATACTATATCCCATGAGACCCATTGTCTCTGTTTTGACTAAAGTATGTTAAAAGATGGCACCACTGTGGTGTGAGAGGAATGGTTGTTTGTTGGGTGCTGTAACTATTTCCCAATACTTTGTACAAGTGACATGCAACCCATGCATGCATAACACAACCCTTATCCTAACCTATCTTTTCCATTTCCTGGCACACTGGTATCAAATTTGAACAGTTAAAGTTTGAAATTTTCAAGCTTTCATTTTGTCAGCTGAATCCAAGTAATTGAAAATAATTTTATATATTATTGCAGCGCTTTTATCTTTTAAAAAAGAAATCTCATTTACAGAAGATGTATAAGATACAGTTCTGCATTAGAAATAGTTAGATTGTGTACATAGAAACAGCCAATTCCTCAATTCTGTTGATGATGTTGTTTGGTCTGTCCTAAAAGAAAAGTGCATTATCACATTTATTGAGACTTGTTTATTCTTATCAGTGGGCTGTATACATATGTATGTATAGCTCATTGTTTTAACCAGTGATTTTAGATAAAATTTTAAAAACAAGCAACATTTTTCCTTGCAGATTGTGCCTGTCTCCAAAAGGACCAAATCTATTCCAGAGAGAAAGAGTCCAGCCAACTATGAACTTGTTTTCCATGTTAGCCCACCACCACTTGGCTTTGCCACTTACTTTGTGTCTTATAACTCAGGTAATGAACATTTTTGTTATTCTTAAAAGAAAGTCAAAAATACATTTCATAGCACATGTCATAAGATTTTTTATAGTATGTATAATAATTCCAATCAAAATTACCGTGAAACACTTTAGGATTACTTAAAAGGGAAATTTTGAAATTGAAATGTATCAATTTATTAAATGTGGATGTTTTTTATGTAGCTCTTGAAGTGTTCAAACAACAGCAAACACAAGAGAAAGAAAATGTCTTTTATCAAGATATGGACCTGCGGAATGAGGTAGGATTTCACCAGATTGCATTAGTAATGGCCAATAACTGAGCTATGCATATCTGGTGGAAAATACAGAGAATGCATAAATCATCTGATTTTTATTATTTTATTTTCTTGTTTCTTCAAAGAAATGGTAATTGTTCCATTAGTTTTAAGTTATTTTGTTCTGAAATAAAAGCATAGGACTGGCCCTAGTTCTTGAGAAGATTTTTGCTATGCCATTACTCAGAACTGAAAGTTCACCTCTATGCCACATAGAAAAAATGAGACTTCTGTGGAGATCTATCTTTGATAGAAATATATGGTTAGCATAGTTTCCACTCATGGTTTAAAAGTTCCAAACTTTTGCTTCCAGCACATCTCACTGATATTTGACCAAACTACAGGACTGCTGAAACAGATGACCAACCTGGACAAGCAGATCACCATCCCTCTCCAGCATGAGTTTAAATATTACCAGAGTTTTGCTGGCAACAACAGCAAGGGGATATATGAGGCTTCTGGGGCATACATCTTTAGACCTAATGGCACTGATGCTTATCCACTGAAGACAAACATGGTCACTAAGTTTATGCAGGTACAGTTTACTAATTTATTCTTGGCTGTTCAGGTATTCAACAACCTGTGTAACCTGAGTATAACTTACCTTATTCATTATTTGATTTGCCATATGGTATGGGAAAATTTTCTTTGCCCCTACTGACCAAAATAAGTTGTCTTTTTTATATATGTATTTGATATTGAATGAAAATACCATTAGTAATATGTCTACTTAAAATTATTTTCTCTTTTTATAATTGTTAATCATGCAATTTGATTCATCAGTATGATTTTGAACTTCATAGATATTAATATAAGTAGATATAGTACCGTTGCACATTTTATTTGTGTGGATATTTATGTGTAAATATTAAGCAATTTTTCTATATACATTTTAGGGCATTCTAGTAAAGGAGGTTCACCAGACCTTCTCCAGCTGGACCACACTGGTGACCAGGCTGTACCAGGGGGCTAGGCACGTGGAGATGGAGTGGACTGTGGGACCTATACCTATTGAGTAAGCTTGCTGTTATTATATAATAGGCCCGTAGCCAGGGAGAGTCGGGGGGGGGGGGGGGGGGTTGAAAGAACCACCCTTTTTGCTGGGAAAAGGTTCACTCTGGGTAAAATTTGATCTATGTACATGAGGATGGGGGTTTTATGTTTAAAGGTCCACTTTTTCAGAAAACGAACCCCACCCTGTATAACTGTGTTACTACTTTAAATGGACAGAAATAATCATATTGACAGAACACATGATGAAAATTTTATCTCCATTTTAGTTTGCACTAAGGTATGACTTGCTGTATATTTGAAGGAGTGTTGAAGTGATTTTTGAAAATAATTTTCAAAATTTGTTTTGTTGTATAGTGATAACCAAGGAAAAGAGGTAATCAGCCATTTTGCCACAGATTTGAAAACAAATGGAATCTTTTATACAGATTCCAATGGAAGGGAAATTTTACAAAGAAAGTAAGTGTTTTTCACTTCAAAAGGATAAATAAATAATTTTAATCTTTTAAACATTTAGGATGAGAGGAAAATGTTCAGTTCAAGTCACGTAACCAAATGTCAACTGCAGTTTTGTAATTAAGTTGAATATTTCCTTAGAAACTTTGCAGCTTCAGTTAAAGAAACTTAACGTTAGATAAAAGTTGGTTCTCAAAACCAAACTACATTTTACATGTACCTTCCAGACGTAACTTCCGTCCAACATGGAAACTAAACCAAACTGAACCTGTATCTGGTAACTATTACCCCATCAACAGCAGGATTTATATCAGGGTAAGAATTAGAACATTGCCTTAGGAACAATGTTTGTATTTATTATAAACTGTACTTAATGATTTGTATATTTGAAAATATGATAATCACATTTTGTCTTTAACAGGACCTTAAACACCCTTAAAATTGCATTTTCTCCAGTTCAAAGCAAGCAGGATAACTGTTTGGTTGCTCTTGTTTATTCCTATGTTGCTGTTTTTCCTGTATTACAGGATGAGACTAAGAATGTCCAACTTACAGTTTTGAATGACCGCTCCCAAGGTGGGTCAAGTATTCAAGATGGCTGCCTAGAAATAATGGTGCATCGTAGGAATCTTCATGATGACAGTCTTGGCGTTGGTGAGCCTCTCAATGAGACTGGGTCAGATGGGAAAGGGTTGATTGTGAGAGGTCAGTAAATGAAGGTCTTCATCTGCATACTGCATTGAAATATTGAAATTTATTTAAAGATATTTTCCTGATATATTTGTGCCTGATGCCATGTGTTTTTCATTGATTAAGTTTTTATCATTATGCCCCATCATAAACACCTTTTTGGCTTTTTTGCAGGTTTGTTCCTTGATTCTGATTTTTTTCTGCAGATAAAAATTTTTTTGCAGGCCATATCCATAATTTATTATCTGTTGTTGCAGGTAAACATTACTTGGTGTTAGATGATATCAAGTCATCAGGTCGCGTCCACAGAGATTTAGCAGAACAACTCTTCATGGCACCCCTGCCCTCCTTCTCTGACCTCAAGATGGATTTCCAGCAGTGGATAAAACAATACAATACAATGGTCAGTGAACATTATTTATGCATATTTTTTCAGTGCTAATTATTTTGCAAGACCTTAACATTTTTGTCAGGTGACTCCATTGCTTTTGGGACAATTGTTAAAATGACACTCTTGACTTAATCTTTTTTTTCTAGAATTTCATATCATCTTGAATATTTTAATACATAAGATACTCTATATATTCAATGTATTTCATAATCACAAAGCAGATATTTCTACCACCTTTGTATCATAATTTTGTTGAGCTGGCATTGTTAAGTGTTGAAAATGTTCCTACATTTTTTCTCATCTGCAGTGGAGTGGATTAAAACAAAAGCTCCCAGATAATGTGCACCTGTTGACCCTGGAGCAGTGGTCTGGCACCACAGTTCTACTGAGGCTGGAACATTTCTATGAGAAGGGAGAAGATGATGTACTGTCAAAGCCTGCAGTGGTTTCTCTAAAGGTATGTTGTTTTAAATACTGAGTATATGACTGATTACTCAACATACGGCTCATGCATGGTGGAGTGCCTTCCTCTGATGCAGGATTTGATGGGCTTTATCCCTGAAAGGTTCATAGTAAAGAGCATTGCAGATTGGTACTCACTCAATATAAAGAGGTTGTAGCTGGAAATTTTAAGTAGTAATTCTCAGCACCATTAATACAGCAATCAGAGAGCATAACTGCTGGGCTAAAATAGAACTCGAGATATGAATGTAAAAAGTACTTATTGCTTTGTTCCATTTCTGTCTTGTGACCTCTTGTTGAATTTCTATAAAATGTTTTAGAGATGTAACAGAAGCTCTTACTAGCATCTTTATTAAAAAGCCACAGAGAAAACAATTACTTTTCAAGTTGCTATATCTGTTAATTAGTATTAATTATCTCACACCCCTCACATTTATGTTCAGATTCAACCTTTTTATTGTGGGATCCTTTTTACAGGGACTGTTTACTCCATTTGATGTGAGCTCAGCAGTTGAACTGAATTTGGGTGCCAATCAAAAGCTAGCTGACATGAAACGACTGAAGTGGATGTACAAGACACAGCTCAGTAAGTACAAACTCTTTATTTTTTCTTTGTTACTTTAAACTTGAGTTCACACATGATATGCTATGAATTACAAAGTTCATATTGTGATGGTATAAAGGCTCTCTGTATCTGAATAAGTAAATGTTACCTGCTGATGCTAAACATGTACATAGCCCATAGACTGTTATGATGAAAAGGCAATTTTCAGGTAGGTTTGCTTAATGCTATTATCATATTTCTTACAACTTTCTTACAATACCATACTATTACCTTTGATATAAAGAGAGAATCTTATTTTGAAGGTACTCCTGAGCATGTGGTGACACCTATTGGAGATGACCTCACTGTGCAGCTGCAGCCAATGCAGATCAGAACATTCCAAGTTACATTAGCTTAAAGCTAGCTTTACCCCTTTTGCAATCAGAAATGTGATTTACGCCTATGGCTAAAAGTCCAGATTTTTTGCAGACATTTATTATCAGTTTAAAAAAATTCTCAAAAGTTCCAGAACATTTTGAGAATGTTGTGATTGTAATCAGGCAGATGACTCAGAATAGATGTATTCATCATCTTTGATAATGCTGTAATCACAGAATCATCAACTACTGATACCAAATGTAATTTCTGGTCTCATACCAGAATTATTTCATTTCCTTCACATTTATGCATTATTTATATTTTACATGGACATCTAGTACAGTTGTTTTTGAGACAGCCTATGTCTAATAATTGGCTATGCTAAATCCAATGCTTTATTGTGATAATGTATTAATAATTATCAGCACAATCAGCTGTTGTATCAAAGACTTTTGGTAGGATTTTACCAACAGATATTCAATGTTTTCCTAATATAATATATTACAAAGGATAGTCTTGAATATGTGGAGATTGGAAATAATTAATATTTAATTAAAAATTGTGGCAGCCAATACAGCTGAGCTTTTTATTATTTATGCCATCATTTCTCACAAGTGTGACACTCGTTGACTTATTGCCAATATTTATATGTTCATGCCTCGAAGACTGTCTGGTACACGTCATTGCAGTTGAAATGCCAGTCTATTTAGAAGTTTGCATCGTTCGTTAAAATGGCCTGCCTGAAAATCTCCAAGTTTGAAATGATAGCGCATAGTGTTAAAATATATGAATTAACAGATAGTATTATAGTACAGTAAATCAAAATGATGTATGAATTTTTTAAAAAATATTTTGTGGAAAATGTGGAAAATCATTTAAAAATAAACAATTGAAATATATACAAGCATTTTTCTCTTTTCTGAGGAGTGTTTCTTTGTTTGAAGGCGGATTCGCGTCTCCTCCCAAAAATGAAAAGGTACAATCTGACTTGCAGCTTTAAAAAGTTCTTAAAGGAAAATTAAAATGAGACTGCGTATTAACCGTGTAGTAAAGACTTAAAAGCTGGCAGCTTATCAAACTAAGTATATGGTCCGGTTTCCGTGTGGAGTCAAATCCTTTGGAAATTTTAATTTGTAAGATTCAATCTGATTGATTGTCAAGCAAACTGGGAAACAAGAGATAAATAGAGAGGGATTCCTGGAAAAAAAGCCGATTGCAGTTGCACCAACTAGGGTTGTGTGCTGTATAAGAACGATGTCAAAAATTATTGTATTATTTTCTCTAAACCAGTGCGTGACTATTCTATAAAAATAATACAGTTTAGTAAGGATTTACTACAAAATATTCACATTTGAATTCAAACCGACTGGCCCCAGGGGAAGGCGTGTTTGAAATATGTGACAATGAGAGACTTTTTGTTAAAATGTTTCGTGTGCCAAGGGTACCTGTTTTGAGCGCACTCCAGTGAGCCAAAATACAGCGGCGTCCTGTGATTATCGTCGTAGTTTACTAGCTTTAATGGTCAAATATTTCACGGTCAGTGTGGTAACCTTTCAATTCTACACTAACCCAAATGTCTCCATTTAAAAAAGATGGTTATCAGCGATAAAATGTGTGCACAGTAACATAATGTGTTTGTGTTTGTAATGATATGCCCACTAGTTTGATGAAATCTATATACAGAAAAATTAGTAGCAGCAAGTACCATTATAAATCTTTTAAATGTAATGAAACACAGGGCGCGTGTCTATCCTTTGTTTCTTTTCTCTGGATTATTTGCACTTGGGCAGTCAAAGTAACAATGTTTGATTTAGAAATGTCATTATGTTCTAATATCTCTTATATTCTTAAGTTATAAGGTAAGGGTTATTATTGCTTAAGTATCTCATGCGTATAATCATTTGATAAGCCACGTTGTCGACCGTTCGTGACATGTTATGTAAACAGAAATATTTAGGATAATTTTCATTAGATATGAGATAAGCATAGATGCTAATTTTCACAGTTCGATACATTTAATTTAAGATTAAGTAAACAGGCAGGTGGTGCATTAATAATTACTGCAATGGAATACGACGGACGAAACTGCCAGCAGGCACGTGGATTTTATTTAAATGAGGCATTATTTGAAAATAAAGGCGCGTGGTTGTAAATGCCGGTCAATTAGTACTACGTATGCATCGGAATAGCAAACACTATTTTAACAAAATTGACAACCACGTGCTCTAATCGGTTATGCATATGTTTAGAAATGAGTGTGAGGATTTGAAAAGTTTGTTCTTCTGCTTGTAGCTGGGATATTTTCAACGTTGGGCGAATTTATTGTGAAAACCATGCTTCTAGCATGTGTAAAGTGTCAACGTTTAGTCTTGTAAAACTGCCTTGCAAATTGAAAATTGATCTGTTTGATATACTGTTGATAAGAGAGTGTTTCCTCACAGCGTGCTGCATTTATTCAATCCCAGTTTATCCCCTTTGTTACCTTGAACTATCCGGGACCTCCCGGCTCCCAAGTGACAGCACTCATTCAGAAAAAAAATTGAGTTCATTTGGTGGTGAATCAAGATTAACACAATGCGTTTTGCTCGCTTTATTTAGAAATCTATCAGACCTTAATGTCAATAAAACTCACGCGAGTTGAAACGAAGATACCATCTAGATACGGCTGTTTTTTATTCAATACTTCAGTGAAAAGGTGTTGAAAAGAACGCGTGCCAGATGCCTCACACACAGTGGATTTTCTCCCCGTTAATCCCGCACCTCTTAAGCCCACAAGCAAAATTGTTTTGCTTAATCAGTTGTTTTAAAAAGAGGGAATCGAACAGATAATATACACAAACCTTCCTTTCAAATGAAAGTATAATGTTTTTTCAATAGACTCTCACACGCGCGTTTCCTTTCTGCAAAGTGTGCCGAAAGAGTGCCACGTGTGATAAAATCACTGAGCATTATTCTAAAACCAATCGATTACACCCCAATACAAAGCCATTAACAAAAGAACCAAGAGGTATTAGAGAGAATAAATACCCAAAGTTTATTCATTCGTAAACAGGAATTGCCAAAAACGCACTGTGTGCAAACATGTAACAGTAACGTTTATGTCGTAACTTTATTTTGACAATGTAATATGATGACAGCTAAAAACTTAATCTGCCTGTTTGTTAATAAGTTTATACATTAATTCTTCCCGTCTCGTTGTGTCACCAGTACCTTTGCACTTTCTTATGTACGTTTCATCGTAGTTACCGAGTGAGAGTTAATCCACATTGGAATTAAATTTGAAGAATTAAAATGCTTATGTATAATATCAGTTAAATATATATATATACATATTATTATTATCCTCTTAGTTATCACATTTTTGATTATCTTCTGAAAGTACAAGAACTTCTGGAATTTCAACTTTAAAAGTTAGTAAGCACTTGGAATATTTTCACAATAGTTCTGTTCTCCATCCAGACTTTCAGAATCAGAATTAATGTACGTATGTGGCATAGTCTTTGCCAATAGCTCCTGTAAAGTCTGTATATAGGTTTGAGCCATTTGAAGAGTTTCATACTTGGATAATTGTTGTTCTCCCCCTCCTATTTGTGGGACCACCGCCCTCAGCTGGTCAAACGCGCTATTTAGACCATGCATTCTGCGCCTCTCCCGCGCGTTTGCGGCCTCCCGTTTCTTGCGCTGCCTTTCGTCTTTTGGGGAGACAAATTTTGTTGGTTTCATTTTTCTCTGGGTCACTTTTAGACAAGTTCTTTCTCTTGAAGGTTGGCACTCGGTTTTGGTTGACTGTGTGTTTTCTTTTCTTGATTCTTCTGTAACTGTTAGGCTCGGTTCCTCCCAAAATTCCAATTTGCTGAGAAACTGCGGTGGCAGACTTTCCATTGGTGAATTCTGCATGGCAAAGTTTGTGCAGTCCAAAGAATTATCATTGTAGACATTTTCTCCCATCCACGTTGACGCAATATATTCATCGGAAAAAATATCGGCAAACATTTTCAACAGATGAAAATATCGCTGCAATAGACGAACCCTCTGCGTCTTGGAGAAAATCAAGTGAATTCAGCAGTGAAGTGATACGTAGCGGCAAGAGCCACGGAGTTTAGAGCTAGAGGAAAACGAGGCATTAATATACCCCAGCTCGGGCATTATTTGTTTAAAATTCCATCAAGCCTTTGTTGGCTTAGGCGCAAATAGATTTCCAGTTGATTGCGTGTGGTATTGTGTCGCTGTAATCAGTCAGTCAAATCAAGCACACCTTAACGGGACTTTATTCACCTCCTGCTTTAATACGAACGCTGAGATGTTACATTTATCAATCGACACTGTTATTTAAAGACGACAGTCTGAAACGTCCTGCTCCATCATCGATGTCTCTGAGTTACGTAGTTAATCTGTAACGTTAGACAGTGTTGCATAAACAACAATAAGGAATAACTGAATCCCCGCTGAAATTGGAATGTGGAATGTTACGCCCGGTGACGTGATCTAACATCAAAGCATACAATGCTATGCAATATTTCTCCATTTTATGTAACAGTTGATATATGTCGGTATCTTTTATTTTCCCCTTCTTTTCCGTATCTGTCTGACTGACCGACGCCCTCTCTCTCTCTCTCTCTCTCTCTCTCTCACACACACACACACATGCACGTGCACACGCACGCGCACACTCGTATGTACGCATACTTAGACACATGCACACGCTATCACAAACATCCAATAAGTAATTCAAACAGATCTCTAACGGATAAAATCATTATGAAGAAAACTGCCAAAATGTTATTCTTTTCATTTTAAAGCCGAAGACGCTACTAACTTGTGTTTTGTGTATGCATCAGAAGACCGTATCTCAGTAGTTTAAGAGTCACATGTTATGACCGCTGTCTATGGATTACGTATTAACGTCTACAACACGACTATTACATAGAATTATGACAATGAAGAATCGAAAGAACCCCGCTGATCGAGGAATGCTCATCTCCCTCTACTCACTGTTACGATCTTAAGACACCGCAGCATATGGTTATTTTCGTTCATTTTAAGTAAACGGTAAAATAAGCGTATTATCGCCTTTTCCAAAAATTTGCTCCATATCCTTTAAGTGGTTGAAAGGTTATATTTTGGGAGGTGAGCAATATTGTCCTTTTTTTTCATGATATTTTAACACGTGCGCACGCACACACCATGTGTGGCAGTTGGCGGACGCTGTGGTCATGTCTATAATCGGTAAATGGCCCACTTCATCAAATGGCCAAAGAAATCATTGGATCATTCATTACCTTGTCTGTTGATTACATAATTATTCCATAATATTAGATTTCATTGTGAATTATGATAATAAAGAAGAGCTGACAGCCTAGAAGACTAGAAATGCATGTCCTTTGCTCACTGATGTGAAAAAACATCAAAGCATATGGAATTATGCAACACAAGGTTTAAACATTTTCCTGTAAATGGTGTATTTATACGTTTTACTTTTGTACAGAGCCAAGGCAACCGATCGTCTACCTTCTGTTTCCTTCTTTATTCCCCACCGCATGCACACCGTTTTGCAAAAAAAAAAAAAAAAATGTTGGTAGATACCCCGGTACATGCACGGCTTATAAGTAGTCATGAATGTTTTGTATTTCAAATGCTCAACTCGCTTAAAAACGACTAAGCGTGATTGAACATATTTGATTTTCAAATCTAAATAACAAAACAAAACAAAAAAATTAATTTCCATCAGTTCTCTCAGTCTGTGGTCACATATTTGCTTAGCTGTACTGGGCAGTGTTGGACCCACGTCTTCTGGCCTGGAGCTCGTAGGAATGACTGAACTGGTCGTCGAGGCATCCTTCGGGGGTATCATTGTATCCTCCGATCCTTGTCGCTTTCAAAGAAATAAGAACAAAAAAGGCAAAATTCACGAGGGAAATCACAAAGAAAGTTATGAAGTAGTAATCCAGATGGAAGAATATTTCTGTCCTTTGGTCTTCTGGGTAGCATGAGGTGGCTCTGCCTTCTGAAAGATCAAATGTCAAATAATTAATATTATCCATATTTTTGTATATTTTGATTTCTTCTGTTTGTTTACTGGTAAATGATAATGTAGATTATTCATCATATCTAATATATCATTGCTTTTTTGTAATCAATTCCAAGAAATCGCTGTATCTCCCCTCTCTCTCTCTCTCTCTCTCTCCATGATAAGTTGAACGATACAGACCTTTCTCGAAGACATAACGTGAAATTTGGTACAAGATTTGCATTGTGAAACTCCCAATTCCCATAGCAGCATACCATATCCCTACAGCTAAACCCGGTAGAGCTCTTGGAACTAAACCATAGGCAAACTCCAGACCTAAAAAGGAGGGTGATTGGGAATAAAAAACTACACGACAAATTAATGTCCTCGACTAATAAAGTTAGTTTTTATATCCAGGAAAAAAGAAAAAGTTTATACTAAATCATACGATAAAAACATGTTGTAAAACTTGGTGTGCAAGTTTTTTATGCTACTTATTCAATTTATTCATTAATTATGAATAAGGGAAAGCAACTTTGTCAGCGTCACGGCCCCATGATTCCACATTACTAAATTCAGAGACATACATGTAGAAAAAGAAGAAGAAGAAGAAGAAGAACTTTGCATTTATGAATATCCCTGAAACGTTTATTTGACAGATTCACCTGCAATGGCGACGAACACTTGGGACAACCCAAGGAGCAGAAAGATGGGAGCCTGGACGTGTACTGTCAAGTTTTTCACAGGTTTTGGTCGCGAGCAGCGTCCAAACTCGACCACAACTGCGACCAGTGACGAAAGACAAGCAATGGCCAGTCCTGCGCCTAATATTTAAGAAAAACAAAATAAAACAAGTTCTTCAAGTGAGTTTTCACTGATTAACATTTGATCTTTCCTTTATTACAGCAAGCACACATGGACGCTGTAATAAAGGGTTGTGTTGCGCGTAGCTTTACTCTTTAGTTTCGTCACTGTTGCACTGAAATTCAATACTGAAGAGGAGAAAATTAAACCCAAATCAGATATGTTAGTTTGTACTTATTACCCGTATTGGTCAATCCGCACTCCATAAAGGAGTTTATAGACTTGAGACTTAACGATGTATGTCTCATCCTCTTGCGTTTGGAGCGCTCTTACATTACCACCACCACCACCACCCCCCCCCTATACCACCCCCACCCATAATCCACTTCATAACGGCTCTCTTATAGACTTAATATTCACCTATCTTGACGAGCAATCTGTTCGGTTTACCACGCTTCCTTTCAATCAATGGGTAAATGACATAGAAACACAATGGGATCATCGTCAAAACCGCACCAATATTGTACGTCTGCATCCACAGATGAAGCGACAAGAGCTCGTCATTGATGAGAATGTCATGGTGAAGAAGGAGCTCTGCTGCTTGGACGTCATATACACCAAATATCTGCAATTTCAATTAGATAGAATAAAATAAGTGCGCAAACGAAACATTTAAATTGGTATAATATTGAAATAAATCATACTAATAACTTAATGTTTATTAATTCCATATCAAAAGTCAAGACCTCAAAATTTCGTTATCAAATAAAATCATCAAAACTTAGTTAAGTTATATTTAAGGATTCCCTGAAAATAATTAGCCTAATTATCAAAATTTAGTCAAGTTATATATAGAGGTTACCTGAAAATAATTAGACCAATATAAGATCATTGTTCCTTGTAACATGATGACCTTTAGGATTCTTTTGAAACGGTTTACATTTTTGTGTTGTATCTCTCGCTGTTGTGTCAGTATTGGTCTGATTTCTTGTTGTTCTTGTTGAATATCTGCAGAACCTCGCGAGTGGCGCATGATAGCGGAAAAGCTTCGGGACAAGGTAGTCCATTTTGCCGAGTTAGTGTAAAAACTTTCGTCTTCTGATAAATAGAAATTCAAAATAAGAAAAAAATACACATTTTTATTTCCAAACAGTCATTTTCTTATTCCTACAAACCAGTTTATATTTGGTATCAAAATATTTGACAAAAAGGGGGGATTCAGTCAATGCATTCCCTTAGAATTTAAAAAGTTGATAATTTAATGAATGTAGTTTTACTATATGGTTATATTAAACTTTACTTCATGCTTGATGAAGTTGTTTACCTTCGGCCTCTTCATTGCGGTAGAGCTTCCAACCTGACAGGAACACAATTGTCGCAACCACGATTGCTGCAGGGATGACAAGGTAGCCGGCCCAACCGTATGTCCGAAAAGATTCGAGAAACAATGCACACAAAGATCCAATACTTAAGGCAAAATAATACCTGAAATACAGATAAGCTTTCATATCGAAAACATCCAGTGAGTGAGTGAGCCAGAATTGTCAAAGATACGGATTACCTGTATGGTAATCGAAAAAATACGCCAGGCAGTCACATTTTCAAGACAATATTACTATTAACTGCAGCCTTATTATTGAATTTCATGATTTCATAATCTTTTTTCTTTCACATCACTATAATTTAAGAAGAATCTTTATAAGCCTATAAAAACATATCTATATAATATACCATCGTGTGTGTGTACGACAGGGTATGCCTACTCACCGTAGACCTGACAAAACATACTTGATGTATCGTTGCATCTGGGACTGGAGCTCATGTCCGATCCAACTACCCTTCTAAATCTAACGACTCCACATAGATGTGTTAAAATATTTCTGTCATTTATTGTATGTAGGCTACGCCGCGTAACGCGTATAGGCCTATCCTATCTCTTACCAGTGGAAAAACGAACTATTTCGTTTGCTACGGGGCGGACCCTGTTGGACACCTAGCACCACAATGTTGGCTCTGATTCCTCCCTCCGCCATCACCAACAGACACAAGGCCGCCACACTCAAATTTTGTGCCACGAGATGCTCTATTCTCTAAAACAAATCAAAACAGAAATGAGTGTTATATGTTCCCTTTTATTTTTAGATTAGCTAACAACAGGGTCATCTGTACAACTGGCACATGATCTGAGCACAATTTCATCTTTTAAGATTTTAAAGGAACTGAAAAGTTCATGTGTCAGCGAGACGCACACCGTGCCCTATAAGCAGGGCTACAGTCTTTTACTAGTGTCACAAAGAGTGCACTGGGCTAAATGGTGTGACTGTGACTCACTTAAAGCAAAATCTAAACTTTTTTTATTAATATTTCATTTTATCTGTTTATTAATCTATCTATTTTATTATATCTTTTTTTTTTTTTGGGGGGGGGGGGGTATCAGTATACTCACCCATACAGCTACGGCACATGGAATCAAAATTGATCCTAATAAAGTAATAAAATATAGTTAAATGCATTTTTGTAATATCTTACAAGCGCTGGCACAAAACTTGAAAGAAATGTTTGTTTGTCGGCGTTTTATATGTAAATAAATGCAAAACACTGAAGAATATACTCATTTAATTGTGATTTCCAATCCATGTTCATCCCCTCACCTGCAATAAAAATAAGCAATGACACTAGAATAATATATTTCCTGAGACAAAGCATGTCCCCAAGCAGGCCACCAAATATCGGGAAGAAATAAGCAAACCCTTCAAAGACATTATCCACCACACCGAGGGTAATAGAGCTGTAGTTGAGGTACGTATTTCCAGTGTCCACGTAACTAAGCTCCAAAACGCACCGCTGAAATGCCAGTCTCTCCAGGGCGACAAAGCAGAGGATTAATATATGAGCCTTATTCCAGCCGTGGCACTCACTGCTACATGTGTTTCTTTCTGTTTTGTCATTTAAGCCAGGTTCTTCTATTTCCATTTTGTTTTGATACACATAACGCGTGTAAAATGCTTCTGTTGCAGATGATCCGCAGTATAGATATGCATTGTTTTAGTGAGAATGTACAGTGCAAATGTAAATCTTATCCTGTGTTGATAGTGATAGTAATGACTATCAATAATGAACGCTATATTTACACTGTCCTATTTGGGTAGATCCAGTGCGCTCACACAATAAGCTGAAAATACTTTTGGATAATATTTACGCACATACTGATCATTGTACGGTCAGAACAACTGCATGTGTATATCACCAATTTGTTGCGATGAACTAGGCCAACGTTATTTCTATAAAACAAGAATGACAACCTCATGTTCCAAACCTTGTTTTTCATTCTGGTTTTTAAATACGTAGAAATGTATGACCTATATATATATATATGCTACGGCTTTACTGATAAGCATTTCACATTGGTTTGACATCATGTTTCAGTATCATCATCATCATAACTTTTGGCGAACGATTAATAATAGAATGACACTGAATCATTAGACATATATACTTGAACTTGAATAATCTGTTAATTTCAAATATCCTATAAGAGCAGTCACGCATTCCCGGCCTCAGTTTAGTTTTACTCTGGTTTAAAACATGGGATAGAAAGAACGCATGTGATATATAGGTTTTCAATTGCAGGAACAGGTTTGAGAAACTTCAGATTGAAACCCGACAGAGTCAACAGATTTCTTACAGCAATACTGCTATGTTTCCACTACACTTCACCAGTTTGATTACACAGTCCTCTTCAGAACGAAAATTTCAAATGGTTACACTTTTTTCAAAACGTAAGGGGAAAATATTTGAAAAAGAGAAAAATACACCTATATCACTTAGTTTTTTATTTTATTTTTTATTCAGAATCGTAAGAACCTTACCAAGACCGTAGTACAAATGTGTATAGAACTCCTTGACCTAAAATTCAAGAAGTTTCAGTTTCATTGTATCATTGACCTCAGTAATAGAATCTTACAGCGTCATATTATATTGAAAGTGACAGCAAACCTTATATTTATGAGACAGCCTTATGTCAGGTACAATTAAAATATTGTAAATCATCATTAACCTAAAAAGAGTTATACTTGTCTACAACCATAGAGACACTATACCAAGTGCTTTGCACGCTACACGGTTCTCTTCCCTTGTTAGTGTCGTTTAATTTATTGGGCTATAAACTTATTATTTGTCATGCCTTGGGATTCATTAAAACTTTTGATTTATATAAGATATAGCAAGCGGTAAATCTGGATATTCTTCCTGATAAGGTTTGGGGTGAAACAGTAGATATTGGAAAACAATGGTGAGTTTTGATTTGATTTGATTTATCGTATTCAACATCATGCAATTTCATCGCCCAGTTCCATAGCCAAAAAAATATTTAACACGGTGATTGAGTTATATATAGGGTATTTTGAATGAATCAAGATACAAACCCGCCCAGTAGTATTTAGATTTTCCTTGCAGCTTTCAGAAATCCGAGTATTCGTTGCCATATTGCTACTGTGGGGTTGTGTTTTCTCCTCCTTGGGCAAAGATCACTCGACGGCGGGAAGAAGCAGACGACAGACTTCAGGTAGAGTAGGCCCTATTGTGACATGCATGTATTGCCGCTATATTATCTAAATTATTTACAGCCAACCGCACAGTCTGTGTCCGTATGTAACAATAATGAGACATCTTACTTTGAAGAAAATATAAATAGTCTGTTCGATTATCAGCTTGTGTTATTTATCAGTCCGATAATAGGGCTAGCAGAGCGAAATATATATATGAGTAAGCCGTTCAGATTGTCCGGTACATGTATGACTTTTTATTCTCATCGGTTTGAAATAGCCATCCGCTGAACTACTGTCCTTCTCTGTGTTTATCGGTTTCTTGTGAGCACGTTTTGCACCACTCTAAAGAACTGTCTATAAGTTAATATTCAAGAAAGTCACCAAAGTGAACAAAGGCTGGTGTGAAACTATTCGAATTTAGAACTCCGTCAGAGTGATGGTAGAAAAACTAGAAAAATATGCCGCAGACACCGAGAATTATCATTATTTATAGTTTTACTTTTTTGTTTGCTCATATTTTTCTTATGCTTTGTTATCTCACTAACAACCTCTTTAATAAACCTGGTCGTCTGATGACACGTTTCCAAGTTCAGTTAGATTTTAGTAAGACATCCTCTGAACAAAACGAGAGACGCAAGGGGCGGATTTTATTTTGTATGAGTATAAAGCGACTTTATCATTGATTATACCTTTGACTTAAATACACCATACTTAAAATATTTTGATTAATTAGTTGTAAAAATAACATCAAAGCTACACGCATACAAAGTAATGAATTCATGAAAAGATAAAATCGAGGAGAGGAATAAACTTAATGCTAAATGTAGGACAAAGGGGAATCAAAACTTTTTTATATATTATTATTTTTATATATTGCACCAATAATGCACCATTTTGCCTTTGATCTTGATATGCAATCCAACGCACACAAACATTTGTCATGTCTTCACTATAATGATTTTTTTTAAACATTTTAATATTTAGTTGTCAATCAGAGAAGAGTGTGTTTCTACGGCGGCTGGTCGAGAGAGAGGCTGGGTGCGGGCAGGTTTGACGCAAGCTTTATCAATGGCACCCTGTGTACCCACGTGGTTTACGCCTTTGCCAAGATTGTCAACGGAATAATGGTACCGGATAACAATGACTCCGCCCAGGAAGAAGGTATGAAAACAGCACCACATTTTCCTTCATAAGTTTTTGTGCGTGTGAAACATTTCTCCTGAAGAACATCGGACGGGGGTGCTCCTGTCGCAGTCATACAAGCTTGCGTGTCAGAAGACAACTCCCCTGATCTACGACTCTTGTAAAGTATGCTACTCTATGAGTGCGAGCATGTGTTTGTGTGTGTGCATTTTTGCTTGTGTCCATGAGAAATTTGTGCGTGTGAAAAAGCGTATTCAAGCGAAAGTGCGTGCATATTGTAATTGTTTGCTCGTAGGCCCACTAAACGTTTCACAATGCTATGGATTGCGTTGATTATTTTCATTGAATCTTTTGATACGAATTTTTAAATTGGCTCTGCTTAAAGCTTTCAGTTGGTTTTATATTTTCAATTTAATTAACATGATCACCAGTGCCTGTTATGCCTGACATTTGTATTCTTGACGAATAAACAGCTGAATTTGAAAACTGCGCCACTGAAATGTCGGTTACCTCCTGCAGTGTACTATGCGGAACTCCAGGCGGTGCGGAACCAGTACCCCCACCTGAAGATCCTCCTGTCCGTGGGTGGCTGGCTGCTGGGTTCAGGACCATTCAGCAGTTTTGCCAGGAACTATTCGCAGCGGCTCACCTTCGCGTCACATGCCCTAGCTGATCTCCGGCGGTGGGGGTTCGATGGACTGGACGTAAACTGGGAATACCCCGGATCACGATATGGAAGCTCAGCGATGGACAAAGTCAACTATGTAGAGCTTCTGAAGGTAATTAAACAAAAATAAATAAATAAGGCGTAATGAATTAAAGAGAGAAAACTTACTTGAACCTCCCCTCCCCTCCCAGATAAAAGCAAGGCAGCACATTTGAGATGCACCTCCTTGATAAAAGGGAGAAAGAACTTTTTTAAATTTTTATTTCTGACGTAGATCTTGTCCAACGTCCATTTTGATGATTTGGAAATAATTTCTTAATGGCTAACACTTAATATACCAAAGACATATTTACAACTAAGACAACTTAAAGGCAAGATAGAGTTCTGCAAAGAGTCACTTGCAATGTTGAAAAATAATAACAATCTGACAACTTGCTTTCAGGATATTTATTTCGCGTTTGAAGTGGAGGGAATGATGACCGGTCTACAGCGACTTTTACTTACGGCTACTGTGCCAGCTGGTAGAATAGCCATAGATAACGGATTTAACATACCTGAAATATCAAAGTATTTTTCTTTTGATGGACTTTTATAGAATATTTTACTTACACCAGTATTACTGTATGTTGTGTTTTACTATATTGGGAGATTTTTTAATGAAAAGCGTTACAGTCTTTCAAAATTATATTTTATTACCTTTGCTGCTGCAAAAAGGTTGTAATTAATTTTATCATCATTATTTTCCTCTTTTCGATACCCCATGTCCTACATGAAAAATCTACCACATCTTCTCATGCTACGAGAAAAGTCCTGTTTCTTTTAGTAATATGAAATCCTTATTTTTAGCTGGCTTGACTTCGTCATTATTATGACCTATGACTACCACGGCTCCTGGCTGCACTCGCCCACAGGCCATAACGCGCCCCTGTACCCTGAGGAGCAGGAGGTCAACAAAGAACTGAACGTGGTGCGTTTGGTTTAACGAAGAATTGGGTATGGGTGTGATACGGCAGTGTAAAATCTATAATATATTGATATACAAGATATAAAAGTGGGTGCCTTAGTGCGCAAAAAAAAAAAGATATTACAACCGGAATTAGCTTACGTAACACGAATAACCGCACTCTGTGTCCTGATAAGTGAAGTATTTCAAAGACCGAGGGAACTTAGGATAAGATTTCGTTTTAATTTCGATTCCTTCCCCAGGACTGGAGTGTGATGTATTGGATTAAACACGGTTACCCCCCTGAACATATAGTCCTCGGACTGGCGGCTTACGGGCGGACATACACCCTGTACAATGGTAACTGGACGCACATAGGGGCACCTGCTGCTGGCGGAGGGGGTATGGGGGATTACACCAAGACGGACGGGATCAACGCTTATTATGAGGTACTTGTAGGAAAGAGTGGAATTATAAAATGTTTTGATTAGAATGCACCACTTGTTAACGGAGACATGATTTATGGTAGTGGTATTCACCTGTATTCATGATACCTTATAAATTAACGCTTTGTCTTCTTGAGAGTGTAGTAAATATTCATTGAGATTTGTGTATAAACGATGAAAGAGAGAAAGTGAGAGAGAGAGAGGGGGTGTGAAAGAGGGAGAGGGGGAGAGAGAAAATAATTTAAACTTCTTAATTTTTATTTAATTTTTGTAGATTTGCAGTAAGCTTGACAACGGGTACAGTTTAGTCTGGAATGATGCTCAAAAAGTGCACTACGCCTTCAATAATCAGACAATGGATTGGGTAGGGTTCGACAGCCCTAAAAGCATCGCCATCAAGGTGAAATTGTTGAGATAATCTTCCTTCTTTCCCTTTATAAGGGCGTGTGTGTGTGTGTGTGTGTGTGTGTGTGAGCATTGTACGTTTTTGTGTATTTTAACAAGTTTTTTTTATGTTTACGTACGATGAAGAAATAATAATATATAGCATGTAACGCATAAGATGAATATAAACCGGTATGTGTCATGTGTGGCATGTGTATCGAATTTTTTCTACAATTTAAACTAATATAATTTTATAAAGATTAACATTTATGGATGTTATTCTACATTTATGCATGTTAATTAATACATGTTAAAATTGATATTAATGTTTCTTTTTTTGCAGACGAAATACGCCATGTCTCTCGGTCTTGGCGGCATAATGATGTGGTCCTTAGACCTTGACGACTTCGGGGGCAGTTTCTGTAACCAGAGCCAGTATCCCTTACTGACCGCGGCTTACCTCGTGCAGACGTCAAATCTCACTGTTGAAGCCGTGGAAAAAATCTACCCAATGGATGGGACAGTCTACCAACCCAAGGTTAGACCGGAGTGCACTTTGAATTGTAAGTCCAGTGTGTTGTTTTTAGTCATCCAGGTTTTTGTGGGTTCTGACATTTGTGGGTAGGCCTATGTCGTTTTCTCGAGCAATGGATGACAGTTTCCTTTATATATCAAGGAGATTTCCCGTACTATCCAGTCCTCAATCTTAAATAGTATATAAAATTTGATGAGAGGCAAATGGCGGTAAAGAAGAACAGCCAGTGCAGAGACTACGAGAACAAAGGCGTTTAGCGATCAATTTTCAGTCGGTACAAATTATAGATGCATATTATCATAATATGATAATAAAGGAAAGATAATCAAGATTACGCGCTAATTTTCTGTTTCTAAAATTTGAAAGTAAATGACCTTTTATTCAATTTGTTTTTCAGTTACATGTCCAGAAATACACGGCCTGTACCCACACCCTTGCCCAGACTCCTGTGATAGATTCATCCATTGTGCGTTCTACAGACCCAATGAGAAGATGTGTCCCCCGGGACTTTTGTATAGCAAAGAACTGCAGTGGTGCGAGTACCCGTGGATGGTGACATGCACCACGTTTTAATCTGACATGATAGTTCCTGGTTTTAATTTGGTAATGATTGTTTCGATTAAATACCATATTTCGCAACTTTTGAGTTGTCAACTTCGCCAGTCGAGTACCTTTGCATGTAGCACTTACACTACCAGTGGCATTAGAGCATGTATTTGGTAACGGCACAATATCGATAAGGTGTAAGAAACTGAGTCGAGATCTAGAAATACCTGTGGTACTTTATATGATAACAGAGGAAAATGTAGAAGTTGGTGGAAAATAACCCTCTCTTATGCGAATGCCTAAAACCCTAACCTTTTGTCATTCTGAATTTTGTTCGTTGGCATTTTTATTTGGTTTATAAGGATTTCCCCAGAATCATCATAAACGGCGGTGAAGGAAAGTTAACCTGCAAACAAAGGTCCAGTTTAACAAGGTCTCGAAGTCCATGTAGTCGTTTCAAAAGTGTTAGATGAGAAATCTCTTATTTCTAAATTAATTTTTATTTCATCATTTATGAAAGGCACAGGAACTGCATATTAATATTTAAGAGAGTCAGACTACGGGGTTTTTCCATCTAACGATATCAACAGTTTTATGACGAATTCCGGTCTTGCAATTTCTTTGTAGGATTCTCTAGAGTCAATACAAATCATAATATGAAAAAATGACATCGAAATGAAAAATTGCCATGAAGGGTCGACTTCTTAAGAAATATGAAACAAAGTGCAGTTTTGGCAAAGTAGAAAGGCAAGCGCCATGAGAATACCCAATAATTCCAAAGAAATAAGTGAACAAGGCATGTTTTATCAGCATACACAGCTTTATTCGGGTACAGAGGAGTGAGACATAAGTCTAGTTCTTAGTGTTCTACTCTCTACTGTAGATTCAAGTTTCTTTCATCTTGTTCACTAGTTTCAAGCAGAGGAGCTACAGTCCCCGTGTCTGCTTCATATTATTACTACTATGCTAAAGAGCATTCCCCTGTAAGCTCTTGTCTAATGCTCAATTCCTCCAAATGGATGGAATTAAAAGTCGCGTGTAAAATGTCTAAGTCGTCTGTTAGAACTAAAACAACACAGTCCCGCGTGTAAACACATTGTTTGGTAAATGGTTGCAAAAGTACTATTCACATAGACTTCAATCACAAGACTGATGGATAGAACTAAAATACACAATAATGTAACTATGATAACAATCGCGGCTTAAAAAGCTATTGTTTAAAAACTGTGTGATTTATGCCTACACTCCATTCTGCTAATTTTTTGTATAACAAAAAAACTCACTGCCTCAATGTCTCAATACGTTACCAATTTCCACGGTGTGTTCTTATGCAAGTCTGCTTGCCATATGTATAGTTCTTAAGCTATGATCAGCTACGTTCACTTTGCAGTCTTATATACGATCACTGCAATCTCACTGCGGTTTCAATACCAGTTCTATATATATATAAAAAATCGTAATAGTTCTCAATCAAAGTTCAGTTTTCAATTCGAAGCGAAACCTCACTGGTTTAGATAGAGAAGTTAAGCGTAGATATGGTAGTTGACTGTCTTTCTTAGTGGACTCCGCACATCTCTATTCTTCCTCATCCTCTCCCCCGTTGGCTGAGGCGGCAGAGCGATGTGACGTGTGTCCTGTTGAATTTGTCAGATTGGATGATCGCGGGATATAACTGCTGGACTTACTATATGAACTTACTGAAGACGGGGTATAATACTGAAACTGAAAGAAATAACAGGGATATATTAGAGGCTGTACTAAATAAGATACCATGCAACAGAAGATACGAATGGTTTTTTAATACAGTAATCAAAAGCGTCACAGCAGTAAAATAATAGGGTTTTCTTTGCTGCAATTTTAAATCATACATTGTTGGTAAAAATGAAGCAAATAAAGTTCAATTCACTTTTCTATTAATAAATTACACAAAAAACATACTACCAATTATTCCAGCCCATGTAATCATAAACAATGTGTTCTGACATAAGAACTGTAACCAAATATGAAAAATACCTTCACCATCAGAAAAGGTTGAAAATGTTATTGGGTTAATGTAGAAAAGGAAAGTTCACAAATTAGTCAATTTGCTCATATGGCTATGCAACATACCAACAGACCTTCCATTCTAACCTTTATTTGATTTTAAAAGTCAAACCATTCTTGTAAGATAACCCCTTCCATTTAACCACTTCTACTAATCCCCTTTACCCTGTGTGCCACTCATGCATCAATTTTATATAATATATATAATAACTTTCTCTCTGGCTTTCACTGTTGAAAAAATTCCAGGCACTAATTCTAATTTAAAATATTCACATAATAATTCCCAAATAAAAGACTAATACACCTCTGTACCAAAGTTTTCACCAAGCAATGAACCAAGAAAAATGATGTATTTAAGACAAACAAAAAACAAAGAAAAAGAAAACCACAAACAGCCTACTAACACCATTAAGAAAGCATTTAGGATGACAGTTAAGGCATACCACACATAAGGACAGCAATGGATTCAGTGACTCCTATTTTAGCTAGGGTCGAATTCAAGCCAGTCCAGATTAGGTCGCCAAGTGGATGGCAGGTTACGCTTCCTTTCTATAACTTCCACAACTTCCTATAGTACAAAAGTAGCATTGAAGTGCTACAAAGGTCAGCAAAGGTGACACAGAATAAAGCAGAAATTATTACAATAGAATGGTAAGAAATCAGGAAAATTATAAAGGCAAGAAAAATAATGAGGGGCCCTAACTGTGGTAAAAACCATCAGGCAAAATCTTGAAGTGAACAAAATTGGAAGTGAAAAATAAAAAAAGACACTGCAGCTCCAGAATGGCTGAAAGATCCACAATGAAGTGACTCAATATTCTCAAGAAAAACAAGAGACAAAAAAATAACGATAAAATACAAAGAAAACACTAAGCCAAGCACAAAGTGCACAGAATAAAACAACAAACAAGCAAGTCATGAAAACCTTGCATAACAGTGCAAGCATGCACCGAGAGGGGAAAAGACTTACAAAGACAGTCAAATTGGTTAAAGCTTAGCAATTAATCAGTAGGTGTCTCTGAGCGACGGAAACTCCTTCTAACTCCTGCTGGTGCCTGTTTGGCTTGTTGTAAGAGCATGGATGCCTGGATGAAAGAAATAGGGTAGGAAATGCATGCTCAATAAAACAAGGTGTTGAGGTGAGAATGAGTCAACAAAACCCAATATCCAAGTTATGCTGGGGACGTGCAAGGTGAGGGTTTGGTTGACACAGGAGTACAGAAAATCAGAATCAGTGGAAACAGTCTGAATTTCATTTGCATAACTCAACACTGTAACGGTTAAACTTTGAACATCAGACTTACAGACTACTTAAAATTCCTCAACCTGTCTGCTGGATCGTTTGACGGAGCTTTGTGAGATTGTGATAGAAGTACCGCCCTAATAGGTCAGGAGAGGATAGAGAATAGAAAGGTTGAGAATAGGTGATGCTGGTCACTTGCACAAACAACAGATGATCAAACTACCCAGGACATGGGTTTGGTGGAGACACATGAATAGATGGTGGGTAGGTTCAAGAGTGGCCCCAATGGGGGAGGAGGGGGGGGGTAATAATAAGATAGTGTCCCAAGATGCCACAGTGACAGGTCAACCTCTAAAGAGGATTATCAGAGATGAGAGTGTTGGAGTGACAAATGGTCCAAATCTTGGGGTGGATAGATTTTTTTCACAACGGGGCTTTTACTTACAAGTCTTGTTTTTAATGTGAGGATTTTTTAACAGAGCTTGATGAGGTTCGCACAGTCTTAACTGTGACAACGGCAGAAGAACCGACCTAAAGTTCATAAATTAAAGGAATGTGAAGAACATATAAATAATTTTCTCCCCCAGTTGCTTGGACATGGTCGGCATTCTTTCTCTGAAGTGCATTTATCAACATATGTGAAGGTAGGGATACAATTCAAATTCAAATAATATAAAATCAGAATGAAAGTTTCTCAGTAAAATTGAAGAAATTAAAAAAAAAATTAATGCCTAATAAAGCAGAGACAAAAGCAGAAATAATTCATTTTGTGTCTCCGCACAGCCAAGATAAAGAAAGGTGTTTTATGTAAAATTGAAATGTGCAATCTATCTATGACTGTTCATTTCTAGTAATAAATAGGGGTTTTAAATTAAAAAAAGAATAATGAGTCCAGATTTAAACAAAATACTGAAGAAAAATTACTTAATTAACAAATTATACAGGAAAGTTACTAAAGGAGAATAAGAAATAAATGTGCAGAGAGTAATGTCAACTACTTACAGCTCCACTAGAGCCAGCAGATGATCTGCCTACGGAGACAGAGCTGCGGGACTTGGCGCGCATCTTGGACAGAGAGTTCTCTGCTTCATCAGCACGGCCCTCAGCATCCTCAAGCTCCTGCTGGACCTTGCGGTATTTAGCAAGGTTGACAGCAGCAATCTCCTCCTGAATGAGAAAATGAAGAATTGTTTAGCATGAATTGTTTTTTTTTTTGCAAAAAAGGAGCTCATATTTAGAAAATGATGAAACAACTGATCTTGTACAAGTTCAAACTGATTTTACTTTTCATTTCAAGTTAAAGATAAAAAAGAAGCACAAAACATAAGATCCACAGCCTTTATATAACAGATGATAATTTGCATGACTATAAGAACAAATGTACACTTTATTATATCAAAGTTTACTTACAGCCTCTTCCACTTGGCGCTTGTAGGTCTTGATCTTGGTCTGTAGTTTGTCAATGAGTTCCTGGAGACGCTCCATGTTCTTCTTCTCCTCTTCCTGTGCGAAAGCCAGCTCCTTCATGCGGCGGTCAGCCTTGCGTGCGTTCTTGTCGGTCTCAGCATGGCGGCGTTGTTCAGCATCCAATTCAGCTTCCAATTCACGGACCTAGAATTGCAGTGAAACTTTCATGTTGAATTGTGGCAAAATGGATTGAAATGTTTAAATATATTTAATATTTCAAAAGAATAAGATATAGGGTATAACCCCAGGGGAAAAAACAAGTTACTGATCTATTATCTAAACAATTCTTATTGTCAGAAGACAAGACAATGTTACTTACTCTCTGTTCCAACTTGGCAATGGCTTTCTTGCCACCCTTGAGTGCATTGCCCTCGGCCTCATCCAGGCGAACCTGCATCTCCTTCATCTGTGTCTCAATGCTCTTGCGGCTCCTCTCAATGCTTTGGCTGTGCTCTTGTTCAGAACGGAGTTCCTCAGCCAAGTGAGCAGAGTCAGCAGCAGCCTTCTTCATGCGCTCATCAGCAGCACGGATCTCATTGGCTTGTTCATCCAGATCAGCCTGCATGGCGGAGATGTCAGCCTCCAGCTTCCTCTTGGTGGAGGCAAGATGCTGGCTCTGCTGGGTGAGTTCTGAGATGCGGTCCTGGGCATCTGTGAGTTCGTTCTCTGCAGCTTTGCGGGCTCTCTCAGCCTAAAGAAGAAAAGTCATTAATGACCAAGTTTCAACCTCTTGTAATTTTTAGTTCGATATAGGTTTAAATCCTTTCCATTTTGGATTTTTCAAAATTAAAATTTATTTCTTATTTCGTTAGGCCTAAAAGAATGTTGCTCTAAAATGAAATTCACACCTGTTCCATGGCAGTTCTGAGCTCTTCCATCTCAGCTTGCACGGCGTTGGCACGTCTCTCAGCGCTCATCACGTGCTCACGGAGCTCATCTCTCTGGTGGGCTTCATCATCAAGTTGTGATTGCAAGTCCTGTAGTAGAAGTAAAAAGAGAATAAAAAACATTTTCCTAGTCATAAGATTTCAGTGAAATCTAAAATGTGAAGAATAGTACAAAACTCTTTTATTATGATTTTGATGGTGGTTAAGACTTTTCATTCACAATAATCTATAGATTTCCATTTCAATGTGAAACATACCTTGGCCTGCTGTTGGAATCTCTTCACGTTCTTGTCAGCCTCAGCTCTTGCTCTGTTGGCAGCATCCAGGGCAACCTCAAGCTCGTTGATGTCCTGTTCCAGCTTCTTCCTCATGCGCATGGCCTCCTGCTTGCCCTTGGCCTCAGCATCGAGACTGGCCTGCATGGATTCCAGTCCGCGCTGGTGGTTTCTGCGGGTGTTCTCAAACTCTTCATCTTTCTCCTGCAGACGCTTGTCGATGTCCTGGCGAATGGCAGAGATTTCGAGCTGAGAGCGCATCACCTTGGCCTCTTCCTGCTCAAGAGCAGCCTCAGCCTCCTCCAGGGCAGCCTGCAGCTCTTCCTTCTCCATCTCGAGGCGTTTGCGGGCCTTCTCAACTTCATGGACATTGCGTCCACCCTCGCTGAGCTGATCTGTGAGGTCGTGGATCTCATCTGAAAAAGGTATGTACATTTCAATAATAACTGAGCAAAATATTCAATACTAACTGCTGTTTTACAGTAAATTATATATTTTTATTTTTTACTGATTTTGGTAATAGCCAAGGATCTTAAAATTCATGCCAGGTTAATCTTAGAAAGATATCTACCTGAGAGGTTCTTGTTCTCTCTGCGGACAGCATCCATGGCATCAGAGTGTTCCTCAATTCTGGCACGGAGGGTGAAGATTTCAGCAGAGTAGCTGCGAGCTTCACGCTGAGCAGCCTCAACCTCAGCTTCAAGATCCTTGATTCTGGCCTGGAATTCGGAGACGGTCTTGTCAAAGGAACGGTTCCTCTTCTCCATCTGCATGAGATTAGCATTGGCTCTCTCAGCTTCAATGGCCAGGTCTTCCATCTCAGCACTCATTCTGGACTTCACCTTCTCCAGATTCTGTACCTTGATGTTGGCAGCATCCAGTTGGTTCTCAGCCTCAGCCAGTTTAGCAGCAAGCTTGCGCCTGAAGATACAAAGAATTATAAGTACAAATGTTTGGATATATCTACTTGCAGAGTCATTTGTACATATGGACTCAATTTCAACAAACTGATCAACAAAACCACTGCTTCATTCATATTCTATAAGTTTCTTAGATATGAATTTACATCAAATTACCATAATAAATTTGGAAAACTTTATAAAACATGATAAAAGACTAAAAGAGAAACCAGATGACAAATTATGCATCTTTTGACTTACTTGGCATCCTCTAGCTCCTCGGCACGAGCGCCGCCCTCAGTCTCAAACTTGTTGCGCCACTGTTGTGCCTCAGCCTGGGCTCTGGCAAGGTGACGCTGAATGTCGGCCTTGCCCTCTTGTTCCTCTTCAATTTGGTCACGAAGGCTGTCCAGGTCAGACTGGAGGTTACGCACCTCACTGGCCAGCTTAGTTCTTGCCTGAGAGATTAAATTCAAACTTATAGTTTTTGTTTGTATAAATAATATATTTTCATAAGTGTTTGTGAAATCTAGTTGTATCCCATGTGTAATTCTAGGTAATGCAATTCTGGTCTCTGAAGCAACTTGATTGCACATTTTACAATTTAACAAAGACAATTTTCTCTACCTCAAACAAAAAGAGTAAAATTATCAAACTGACAAATTTTACTCATTTTTTCTCACATTATATATCTATATACTGTCACTACAATATTGATAAATAAGATATGTTACTTACTCTGGTCTCATCTTCCAGGGACCTCTTAGCATCATCAACCTGAGCCTGAATCTGTTGTTTCTGTTTCTGCAGGGTGCTGATGGTGTGTTCAGCCTCTTCCAGCTGGCGGCTGAGGTCGCTGGCTTCGCTGGCAGAACGGCCCTTAGCAGAGTTGAGCTCATTGATGGTGCGGGAGTGTTCGTCGATCTTGGCATTGGCCTCAGACAGCTGGGACTCGAGCTGCTTGGTGAGCTTGTCAGCTGCAAGCTGTAGGGAAAGGAGATTGTTTAAGTAGTTTCTATCCTATTAAAGCTTGAAGTCACTGATTAAACAAATCATCAGTGAATTGTTCGATCAAAAATTAACTTCAAAGAATATTGATGTAAATAAAATTTGCTTTCATATGGGAAAGACATGATTTAAAAGAATGACAACAGTAAAGCTACTTTCAATGAACAAATATATCCCCATTCTCCACTGCAAGCCATCAAATCCAAACAGCCTCCATACAGTAATGTGAATATAAGACTATGATGTGACAAAGAACAACTAGCACATTTATACTACCTTGGAGGATTCAACTATCTCCAAACTGTTCAACAAGTCTTCGCATTCCGTGCGCAGGTGCATGCACTCTTTTTCAAGTCTGGAATTACAGAATATCGCATGCAAATCAACACACAGCAAACTTTTTAAGATGACTGATTCCTAACTTCTGGGAGAAAAAAAAATGCTCCACAGTACCTTATACTAACCCTGGTAGAAGGAGTTACCATTCCATCATGGTGTAACCTTTTTTCCATCTAAAATGGGATCATCTGTCTTCCCTGAAGACTGGTACTGCCTCATAGTCTGCCAAACCACATAAAACCTGTAACTCTAACCTCCCTCTCTATTACCCCATGCATGTCTGCATTCAAACTACATGCAATATCATCCATGACAAACATTTTACCTTGCTCTTTTTAACATGGTCTAACTGAGCCTGAACATCTTCCATTTCTGATCTCATTTCATTGCGCTCTTTCTCTACTCTGAAAGGGGACAGCAGGACAAAAGTAGGAACAGTAACAAAAGGATAGCACTAAGAAAGACAGAATCAAAATTGGACAAAACAAATGATTTAATCAATAAGAAAAAGTAAGCATAAGATGTGTGATGAGAACTGTAAACTCTACAGAAAATAAGCTTTACAAGAAAAGAATTCATCTACTTAGATAAATCAAGAGAAATTATGAAACCGGAGTAAAAGTGACTAAAATGATAGGCTGATGTCTGGTAAATCACCAAAATATTCCCTAATTTAAGATATTATCAATAAGCTAAGATATGTTCTCCCTTCGCCAACATCATATATCAGTTCTTCATATTATGAAGGCTTAGAATTATTTGATCTGTTCAATTCCTGAAAATGAAATTAACTTATAATCTACCCCTGCATCTACAGTCTGAGAGTTGGAAATTACTTGAGCAGAAACTTTCCATTTGATATACTCAATGTATCTATTTTCTATCTTATTATAATTATTATTATTATTGTCTACGCACCTTCCCTTCACCTTCTGGAGTTGGTCAAGTTGTTCAGAGAGCTCGTTGACAGCATCTTGCTGCTTCTTGCGCAGGCCAGAAATCTGAGCTTCATGCTGAAGGTTGGCCTCTTCAAGATCACGACGGAGCTTCAGGATCTCCTGCTCACGCTTCTTGTTCAGTTCAACCTGTGAAAAACAATAGAACTATGCTCAAGACCATACTAACTTAAAGTACAGGAAATTAAAATATAAAAAAAAGATCTTTCATTAAATTCACAACCTTGTCTGTAAATGTACAAATTAACCAAGCTTTATACATATTGCTGTAGCAATTAAAACCATACAATTCAACCTACATAAAGTACTAAATACTTTGAATATCAAACACATTGTTAAATAGTAAATTCACCTCCTCTAGCCAATAGTTTAACAATGATTCATCCATATGAATCCTCAAAGTAATCCTAAGTCTAATTATCTATGAATCTGTGAGAAGAACATGTCCATATAGTGAAAGGTTGAGCTCCTGCTAGTGCAAAAGGCATCATGTCTGTAGAAAAAGCCACCTCAACAATGCCAGACTCAGTTCTCATTGAAATCTCTTGACTCTGATAAACATCCAGCAATGGATTCCTTTCCCCATCAAACAACTTGCATTGTACAATGCCTTATCTCCCCACCCTCCTCTAAGATTGCTGAGTAAACACACCAGAACTGAGCATTCTGAATGGCTATCTTTGCTAGCTTCTGCCTAGTTTTTATCATGGGAGAAGTATATGTATAGAGAACATGGTGCACATCACTGGGTTGCTTTCTAGAAATGCAGACATTGATATCATACTGGGCCAACACACCTCACTTCCAAGTAGGGTTGCAACATAAGGGGAATATAGAATGACTTAGGTCACAACTGCAGTGTTATTTTTATATCATAATTGGCAATTTTCTCTGGTTATTACTGTTTTTTTTTAGTTTGAAGGATAAATTATTGACAAGTTTGCTAGTTGTAATACTAATTAGGAAAAAGTTTCCTATCTTACCCAGAACAACACATGGGGCCAAAATCTCTGTCTACACATATATGCAGTGTATTTCAGCATTTTGGGCAAGTATATACTTTAAATTAAACTACCTTATACTAAGAAATATGTTAAGAATTTTCATTTTTCTTGCCAGTTAACCTTCAGTTGTTGGAGTTTTTCAGAACCATGCCAGAGAAGTAAAAACAAAAAGAGAACCAGTGCCTACCTGAGCAGATGTGGCGCCACCAGCCTCATCCAAGCGCTCACTGAGCTCATCCAACTCACGGGCAAGTTCAGCGCGGGCCTTTTCAACCTGGTTTAAAAAGGTTAAAAAAAACAATGAATTTTACAGAATAATTATCATGTGGGTAGAACAATTTTTAAACAAGATGGTTACCTGTGAGGAATATTCATAGCCTATAATTTACTAATGCAAAATGGTAATATAAGTAGGAAGAAAAGATAGCAAATCCAGGTGTATCTTTTTTTTTTTCTAAGGTGTTTTTCACCATACATCTTAGGCTTACTCTTTCTCACAATGAAATACAAGCAATTTAACCAGGTTAACACAAAATTCACCTGGAATCAATTGGTATGTGAGGAAAAATGTTTCGCAAGTCCGTACTGTAAGGTTACTGCACACTTCTATCAGATTACCAAATATAGAATCCCAACATTCCAAACTTATTAGTGAAAGCACTCTTTTTCAAGGTGAAGCAATACTCTTCGGAATGACTGAGCATATTTTTCACTGAACCATTAAATATGACATCTCATTGATTTCTGGACCGCCAATTTAATTAATATTTCCAAATTTCAGAGCTTCACCTGCAGTTTACATAAGCAACAATTTGGGGGACCAAATTTCAATAATGATAAAAATAAAACTATACCTTTGATCTTGCTGCTCTCTCTGCCTCAAGTTCCTCCTCGAGTTCTTCAATGCGTGCCTAAAACAAAACATATTAATTATCAAAATGCAAAAATATTCTTTACACCTGCGAAATAAGAAAGATGTACGTTAAAAATCATTTCAAAAGATGTGAAATACTTCTCTACCAATACATCAAGTGTGGCAATTTACCTTACATTTTGTTATGGTAAACAAATTACATGCAGAGATATTAAACACATGCAAAAATAAAGGTAACAGAGACATTACTTCTAGCATGTTTTTGAGCCCTGGGGCCACCAAAGCTAAATCCTCCGATCTCCTTATAATCTGTTTACTTCTTGTAGTGAGTCTTGGATTTACAGGATTAATAATTGAAGTCCTTGTGATGAGGGTTGGGTGACTCCTTATGGAACGGCCAACTTCATAATCCACATCAAAGTCAACTCCAAAATCATCATCGTAGCGCGAACTGCCCCTGGTCTTTTTGGTTCTTGAAGAGCTTCTGGAGGACTCTTCCACTACTACACTGGAGGATTTCACGCCAGAGGTTTTTTTAGTCACTGCAGCCTTGGGAGGGGCACCTGTCTTTACATCTTTGCCACTTCCTTCATCAACCCTAACCTCTGAACTCGTTGCTTTATTAGTGGTACTATCCACCTCAGCTCCACTCACTGAGAATATGGGCACATCTTCCACAGACTCATCAACCGAAACCTGCTCTGATGTTTTCTTTTCCTCTTTGGTGGCCATATTGTAGTACAGACAGATTCAGCACAGTTATACTCCGGTAGTAACAGCAGCACAGTATTACCTTACAAACACACAAGGTTTGTTGACAAGGAGTTGTAGTCCCTCGAAAAAATATCAAAATACTATGTGATAGTTCCTCTAACTTGAAGAGAAGTTAGCAGAGGGCCGAAAACCTCCTTCCTACCAGTGCCTCCCAGACTGCAGTATGTGCCAGGGCAACAGCTAGACAGACTGAGGAGTAGGTAAAGGTAACACTGAGAGCAAGAAAGTAATGGGTAATGGAGAAGATAGCTACATTCCTTGTGTGTTTGTGGGAAGCCCACGGCCAGGGTTGAACTGGAAGTTTTCCCGAGGATGCTCAGGCTGCACCAACCAAAGTGACTAACTCATTCCAACATCTGGTGCCTTAAAAGGCCATTGCATATTTTTCTTTGCTAACATTCAGCTTTCAAGTTATAGGGCAGAGGTGAGAGGGTAATGCATGTTAAAGGATAATGTGCAGCCATCGTGTATGAATTACAGTAGCTTTGCTACTGGATTCACCCCAGTATCTTTTCCTTATCATCCACTTCCCTGTTATGCATCTTATCATTAAAACAAGATTAGTTAAAGGTCAAATTGGAATATGGAAAAAAGAGCAATATGACCAGAAAAATTTCTGAGGCACCATACAGTTCTGGCAACATCATCATCATATATTCTAGAAAGCTTGCCAAAATCCAAGGTGAAATAGTTGTGTATGCTGGCTCTTCCCTGGATGTTTGTCTGGTATAGCCATCCTGAACCAGACTTACTAATACACATACATTCATCTTCAGGGGAGCCAGACAGCATTCAAAACTTTCATAGATTTCCCTTTTCCAAATTTAGTTATCTGGCAGCAAGCTGCTGAGAGATCAACACATTTTCTCCCACCTACATGGGGTCAGAAGATAAGGTGGATCTGGTTTTCTAGGGAAAGGCTCTTCATTCTGTCCTCCAAGATGTCTATTTCTGGATACCGGTTTTGATGGCAAATAGAAGTTAATCATAATAATCCCAATAGCAAATGTAATGTAGAAATCTTGTTTCTGAAGTAGATGTATATACACATCTTCAATAGGATGGGTTAGTTACATGCTCCACACATGTAGTAATACTATGTTTGATTTGTCTATAGATAAATGAGCACTACTAGTAAACTTTCCTAGCCTCCCTCCCCCCCCCCCCCCCCCATAAAAAAAGTAAATATAAATAGTTAAAAAAGGAAAACTATCCATTCACTTTTAACAGATATTTTTCAAATTTAATGGATTCTCAAATTTAATGCCTTATTCAATTTTGGTTCATTTGTTTACTTAAAATGGTTCAGTATAGTAAGTCAAATTATAGTTCTAAATGTTTTGTGCTTCTTATTGGTTACACAATTTTAAATGTACTTAGGTGCTTTTACTTTAATATCAAATAATTTACTCTCATTCAAAAACTCACAAAATTTTGATAACTAATTTGAGAAATTCTTCAATCTAGACAAAAGAATGATTTTTTTAAAGAACTAATTTGTAAAACATTTCAAAAACATCTGTCACATCCAGCTGTGATAATGCTAGCATGTTGAAATTCATATTTAAAAATTCTGTTCAATATTTCCACTGTCCTATATCAACAATCTATCTGTAGTCTGGGAGTATTTTCATTAATTAAAGTGTTACTTAATCTCTTAAAGGAGGGGCAATGCATTCAAGAAAGTTTACCTGAATTATCATCACATTCTGATAAGTCACATTCAATGGATGAACATATTCAGTTCATAAGAGCAGATTAAGATAAGAATTAAGTCCTTTGAGGAGATATAAGAGCTTAAACTGAACCTTAAATAAACTGAAGATAATTGTTGTTCTCTGGTGTAGAGCTGAATGAATTTTGTAAGATTTGTTCAAGGGACATGATTCTATTCTCACAAATTTTAATTTCATTATAATTGCAAAAAAAAAAACTCAGTCTATATTTCTCTTTTATGTAACTTAAAAATGATTAAAGACCTTTGCATGAATTGTTCGGTCAATAATATCATTCAAATACTAGTTTGCACTTCAAGATGACTTTAATTAACCACACATATGGGATGCACTGTATGTTAGATCAATCTGTTTTATGGGGAAATAGTGTGAGATAGTCAGGTTCTAAAGGTAGAATTTATAGGTCAGATCAGACTGAAACAGTTTGTGTAGCAGGCAAAAGAATTGACTGATATTGTCAAGGTGACAGAGAATAGACAGTGGTGGCAGAAAATGTAAGAAAGTGTGGGTAGATAAGAAACACAGCACTCCAGATAAATCTCTTTATTCAAATCACACAAATAAGACACAAACAAAGAGACATAGACAAAGCTACTGGTAGGCAACACATACATACGGCTATCTAATACCACTTCAAGTCAGATCAGCTACTGTTTGGGATGTTAATGTCACACAAAATCAGAAAGGTAATGTAAGTATGTCACTCATCATAAATCACCCTGTTGTATTAAAAGAGAAGTACTTTTCATCCATGTAGAATTTTGATTTTTTTTAAATACTAATTAAATGACACTTTAACTGTGTGTAATGAAGAAGGATGATTGCAAATAAAATGCCTTTCACTGACCTGGAGTTCCTTGATCTTCTTCTGGAGTTGGGAGACCAGGTTTTGTTCATCCTCAAGCCTGGAGTTCAGGCCGGAGATCTCAACATCCTTCCTGGAAACCGAGAAAGGCAAAACTTGTAAAAATTTCTGCAAAATCTGCGGATAAGTGGGTGTCAATTTTCAATATTGGCAAAATAATTATTATGGATTATAAAAGTATCAAAGAGCAGAACATTTTTAATGGGTATATGACTAAAAAAATTGTAAAATCTTACCTTCTGACATTCTCTTCCATGTCACGTCTGACACGCTCAAGTTCCTCAACGTTTTCTTGTGTCATCTTCAGATCTCCCTCCAGCTTGCGCTTGGATTTCTCCACATCGGCACGCTGTTTCTTCTCACGCTCAAGGTTATCCTCCAGCTAAAGACAGAAAGAGAAGGCATATAATTTCAATTCATCATAACAGTATTCTTTGGATATTATAGAAGAAAATCTAGGAAATGTTCATAGGGTTTTATGTTAGCAATAATGATCAATTAGGCTAAATATGTTTATTTAAAAACCTGATCAAATTTAACTTAATGATCAAATATTCAATCATTCAAGTCACTTAAAATCTCATTTTGATAAACCAAGTTTTAGTTTATCCCTACCTCGTCCAAGGTCTGTTCCAGTTTCTGCTTGAGTTTGTTGAGGTGGTTGCATTTGTCCTCTTCTGCCTGCAGTTTTTCTTGTGTTTGTTTCAGGTTCTCACTTGTGTTCTTACCCTCCTTGGTCAGCTTGGCAATCTGTTCATCTTGTTGGGCCATTTCGTCCTGGAGAGTCTTGATCTGGTGATCCTTGGTCTGTTTCTCTTGTTCAGCCTAATAGCAAAAAAGGAAAGGTTTTATCTATACTTTTGTAAGTGGTTGGCAAATTCTAACTTGTTTAATATCAGGGTCTGGTTCAGTTTCAAAATGACCAGTTATTACCAGCTGGTGATATATCTTTAAATTAAATCAAAAGGTTAAAATGTATTTGCAATACCTAATGCAAATGCAATGGTTCTAACAATAATTAGTTCTCAAAGTTCAACCCACCTTGGCAAGAGACTGCTCAAGATCCTCAACATCCTTCTTCAGTTCCTCAGCCTCGGCTTCCATCTTCTTCTTGATGTTCTCAAGCTCTGCAGCAGCATCTTCCTCATCCATGAGGCGCTCTTCCATTTCCTTGATCTGTGCTTCATAGTCGACCTTCTGGGAGATGAGCTTCTCAATTCTCTCCTCAGCATCAGCCAAGGTGTCCTAAAGATATTTCATTTTCTTTATAACATGGGTCAAAAGTACATTAAAAATTTTGCTCCCTTACTCAGACTATAGTCAACATCAAAAAGAATTTGCCATTTTAGAAACTGAAACTGGCAGGATTGTTTTAAAAAAATTTATATATCACATGTTCTTTAGTACTCTGAACAAGTTTTTGATTGCAATTTTAAGTCGGAAGTTGTATGTGTTTGGTTTCCCTACCTGCTCAGACTGCAGTTGCAAGAACATGTCATTCTTAGCCTGCAGCAGAGTGACATTTTGCTCTTCAAGTTCCTTCTTCAGCTTCTCGAGCTTGGCAAGGTCTTCCTTGCACTTCTCAAGTTCCTCTTCCTTCTTCTTCATCTCATCCTCAGCACGGGCAATGTTCAGCAGAGGCTTCACCTAAACATGACAATGAAGGCAATTTTCAATATCTGGCTTGCAAAAGAAACGATATGCTATAAAGAAAATATTCATCTCTTCCACTAAGCACTTGTGACAAATCCTCCCACAAATGCAAATTTTGTGCCACTATAATATCATTATCCAGTAACCTACACTAGTTCTAACTTCAAGGCATTTGCACTGTTTCATTTCTAATGAGTCCTCTTCGTCCCCACTTTCAGTAATATACAGAGGTTCCAGTTCTTGATCATCTACATTGCTATCAACTGATTCTAATATCCAGTCTAGTTCAGATAATATTGCATCTGTTTGGCAAGACCCCATTGTTTCATAGTTTCTCTCAGCTAACCATCCATGAGTGCTTAATTCGGTCACAGCATATTACATAAGTAGCAAGATATGCAGCCTTTCAATGAAGCAATGTCTTGATCAGGTAGCCACAATAAAAATACACCTGCAACCTCTCCAAGACAATAAAATAACTTGTAAACACTGCAGGGTGTTTGTGGAGACTGTAAATGAACATCACTTTACTCTACTATGGAGAAGGCCTGTACTATTGCACCCAGTCTCTCCTATTGACAAAGAAATTAATGGGGTATATGGCCACTTCCTTTGCCAGCAAATGAGGAACACAAATGGGACTTATCACAGTCAACAAGCTTGTTCAAAGATAACATCTACTCAATCCAGTCAATAAACAAACCCCTGCAGGTCACCTTGTGTCCAGGTGTGTGGGGAAGTCATTAAGTAAAGCAGTGGAGGAACCTAATTGATAATAAATACTGTCAACAAAGGGGCTTGTAAACATGATAGCATTGATGGTAGACAATAAGGTAAATGGGAGGGGATTATGTGGATGTAGATAAACCAGGTATGGACTTGATTAACTGCCGAGTGAAAGATATTCTTCAGTTGTACTCTTGAAGAGGGATTGGAATCATTGCTCTTTTTTATTTTATCTTTTTTTCCTTCTTAATTTTAAAGAGGATACTCACTCTGGTGTACAGCTTCCACCACTGCCAGTTGCGGAGCTGCAGGTACTTGCGAATGTTTCTCTGGATGACAGACAGACCAACTCTGAAAAGTGGAGAAATGTAAAGGTTAATATCAACAAATCTTAAATTTCATTAAATAGATAAATGATTTGAATGAAAAAAGTATTTCAGTTGATTAATCAATTTTAGTTAAGTTGTGAACTTGTGTATAGTTATAACAACTTAAAATGTATATATAACACATTAAGTGAAGACTACATGATCCATTCTAATTATTTCCAATATAAACCCCAACACTTTCTTACCTCTGGTCTTGCAGTTTCTTGTATTGTTTGCGCATGATGTAGCCACGGATGTGAGCCTGGAACAGGGAGATGATCTTGGAGAGACGCTCATCACGGAGATCCTCAAGATGACCTAGCACACCAGCACGGAAGAAGACCTTGGTGCTGCCAAGACGGTACTCATTCTCGTCCAACTGCAGAGATTCCAGGATCTTCTGGGAGACAAGTTTGCCCTCCACGAAGCCCTGGGGGATGGCATTGGGAGCCAAGATGGAGTATCTGCAAGTGATAAATAGCAGGTAAACTATGGATGAATGTCAAGTGTTTTTTTTTTTTGCAAGTAACCAAACTGTACATTTTGACTTACTTTTAGAATATGACTCAATAAAAATTCATACATCTTGAACATAAAACTATATTTACTATGTCTCCACTGAGTCTTCCCTACCCACCTCTGCTTGAATTCAGAGTAGATCATCCTGTTGGGGAAACCTTTACGGCAGATACGGATACCCTCAAGTACACCATTACATTGCAGCTGGTTCATCACAAGGAAGGAGTCAATCAGACCTGGAAAAAATCAAACGAACATTTCTTCAATAAGTCTACAAAAACCACTTTTGGGATAATGACTTGAAGATTAAAAATTAATAAATACATACTAAAATTTTACATTTGTATTTTGCTTCTTTGTATGAAAATATGACAATTAACAGATTAAAAAGTACACTGCAATATGTGTGAAAAGAAATAGTAAGAAAAACACATGACACACAACATGCAAAGACAGTTTTCCTTTAAAGTTTCCCAAGATCATAATAAAAAGCCAGACTATTCTAACTCTCAAAATCACACATTCTCCACCCTCCCCTAATTTTAAAGCTTCAAGATATGCCTGATAAAATAAATTTTGACAGGACTAAAGAAAAAAAAACCCGCTCAACTTTTAAAACCACCAATGTTTTATAAAAAGAACAACCTTTCTCCTTATAACTACCAAAAATGTAAAATGTATGAGATAGTGAGCTAGACTGGTCATCATGCAGCACCTGACCACTGTACAGAATGGTTGGACACATCAAGACACCAGGTAACACAACATCTACTTCTGGTCACCGATGAATGATGTGTCCAACAGCGGTGGTGGCTGCCCAGTGGTCAGGGATGTTACCTGGTGTCTTGACTTCATTAGGAATAATACACCTGATGAAGTGCGGCTGAGTGCTGCGTAAGTTGGTCATCAGCTTATTTAAACTCTCCTGTGAGTAGGTAGGTTGTGTGGTTGAGTGGGCAGAGGGGGAGACAAAGAGAAACACAAGGTTAGTGTCTAACAACAAGGAAAAAAGGTAGTTTATGGGTTGAGCCAAATATTAAGTCATGCTGAGCACACATGGGAAAGTACAGCACAGGTAGGGCACAAATCTCGTGACAACTGCAACAGAGAAATGAAGGAAAAAAATCACAAACACAGGAAATCTGAAAAATAGACAGAGAACACACAAGTGAAATGGATACATCACGTCACATCAAAAGAGAAGCCACAATGATCAAGGATAAAGCGCAAAAAATATGTATTTTGCCCATTTGATTGTTCCATCAAAAAAAAGGACACCCCAAAATGTAAAGATAATAATTTTTGGTTCTTTCATAATTATTAGACATTTAAATGAAGAAAAAAGGGAAAGTAAAACAACTGAATTTTGTTGATTTGTTCTTTAAATATAATAACAATTTGAAAAATATTTTTCTTTGAAGATTGGTAGTTTCATGAGACAAACTGCTAAATGTCCTGAAAACAGATAGGGAGTGATGCATGCTGTTACTATGAAAGGAGAATGGGTGCACAAAAAAGTGAACAAGAATTACAAAAAAAAAACATCAGTGCACTTCTTGGACATATTTCCATTGGTGAACCCGCACATATCTGGCATCCCCACGCTGGCAGTGAGGGATAGAGAAACAGAAGAAGTTATACAAGGCATTCAAAACCAGAGAATATCACATCAACACAGTGCATCATCCATGGCAGCAACAGCACACAGTGATTGCAGTCACTGCTGAAGAGAATGGGGTTTGGTGGGGGGTGCAACACTGGGTGGAGCTTTTTACCTGGTGTTTTCACCTCGTTGGGGATAATGCAACGGATGAAATGAGGCTGAGTGGTACCCAAGTTGATCATCAATTTGTTCAAGCTTTCCTGTAATCACAATATCTCACGTTAGTTATATAGTTAGGGAAAAAAATGCTGCAAGGGAATGAAGGCTGAAATGTGAAATAAACATAGGCTAATGGTGGATAAATATTAGCATGCTTTCATTTCATTGATAATCAAATCAACCTCCTTTCAAAATTTTTGTGGGAGTTGGCTATTGCTACATTTGTATCTTTACATTTGATTTCTGCAGATACATGTATTTCAACAATCATAAGATAAATGCTAATATATCGACTGTCTGATTTCAACTAAATATACTAATTTGCTTTCATTTGAACCGCTCCTTCCCATTATTCCTAACTGCCATGTCTAACAACTTTTCAATATTTTTTTCTTTTTCAAACTAGAATATGACCAGATTCTTACCCTGTGAGTGGCAGAGATGGTGTGGAAAGCGCTACCCTTCTTCTTCTTCTTTGGTGCAGCGCCCTCTGTAAATAGCACATTTTATCAAAATTATAAAAACTCATGAATAAATACCATAACTGAAGCTGAATTGATGAAATATAGAACAAATGAGTCTTATCACTGAATAAATTTATACAATTTAACTTCTGGATGTGAAACCATATGCTACTTACCCCATCTTTAAAGCAGTAAAAGTAAATCTTTTCTAGAACATGTATATCTGTTTAATATTTTAGTTATGAAAAAAAGAAAATGTTATATATCTAAGAGCCTACAATAAGCTAAATTATGATCAACTACATCTAAGTTACTGCTTGAAATTATATCAAATGAAAATCAGATCTTAAATTATAGAAGCTGACGAAAATTAGACAGAACAGAACAAGAAAGCTTTCTAGATGATTACATAACATGAATTGAACAAAACAAAACAGAACAGAACAGACATATGTTGTACAAAAATGGATACATCAGACAGATATGGAGGAAAATGTGGTATGAAGGTGAAGGTTGTAGAAGGTGAATGTATGTGGTGAGCAAGTCTGGGAGCAAGGGAGAGGCAGACGACATCCCTGGTGTACAGGATCTGAAATATAAACTGGAACAGGCGTGAAGGAGATTGGAAAAGAGGAGAGGAGTTGGAGATAAAATACTCTTGTGGATGGAATAAAGTGACAAAAGGGAAAAAACAATGGAAGGAACAATAAGGAAAGCTGCAAAGAAAATGATATATTTGAAGACTTTTTAAAACCACATGGTAGAACTGAAAGTTGAACCTTACTGGAATAGGAGAGGTGATGGGAAATTTAGGTAGTAGGAATTTCACACATTAGTGGATCTAGAATCCACTGTCTTGGATAGAAATGTGGTAGGTGAAAGTCACATTTTAACAGGATACATGGAACTCGAGGGAGGTTTTGGTGAATGGGTTAAACCTGTGATTCATGGGTACAGTGTTCTTTCCCTTTAACTCTGAGTGTTGGTTTTGATAGACAAGTTTTAAAAATAAAAAAAAGTATTTTGTATTGCATGAAGCCTACTATAATCATAAAAATAATTCCCTTTTTCTTTCCTTTGTTTTTGATAAATAAATCATCATAAGCTGAATAGCAAATTATATACATTAGTTAAATTGAAAAAAAATTCAATGTTTAATAAAAAATGAAACAAAAAAGGCATTCCAAAAGTTGCAAGCTGCTATAGCCATTGCTGCTGTCGCTGATATTGTTTCCATGCCCCTTACTGTTACCTTCATCATCATCTATTCCAGCAAACAATTGTGCAACAGTAGGATCTTTGGATTTGCTGAGGACATGGTAACAAGTAACATTCACTGGATCTTTGTTCTTTTCCAACCACCCACAAATGTTGTAGGGCACCTAGCAGCCACCATAGAATTTTATCATTACATGATTTCACAGAAATCTGATGAACAAACTAGTCTCACTGATAGCTTAGCTTTAAAATGCTGTTTCCAAGTATCCCATTCTTTTTGAATTATGAAAGTTGACAGTAAACACAAATTTCACTGTACCCATAGTAATAAGCTGTAAAACAAAGAGGAATCAAGGTTGAATTTCAAACTAACTACATAAATGGTAATGCAGTCTGGTGTGGAAAAAGGAAGATGTACAGGAGGAAAAATCCGCTTTCCATCATGGTGGATTGGGTTAAGGTTGATCACGGGATAGTGCCTTCTTACCAGGCTCCTCTGGTTCAGAGAACAAGAATGCAACAAGATGCTCCTTGGAAGAGGCAAGGAGACCAATTACGGTTTCATTCAATGGATCCTTGTTCTTTTCCAGCCAGTTGGTAATATTGTAAGCCACCTGATTGTGAGAAATAAAGCATGTCAATAATGCCACTGTATATTGTGTACAAATTTAAGTGCTCCTCATTTGTGTTTTGCATGATGAGGGCCAGATATTTTGTGCCTCCAGGGCTTCAAAAGGTAAATGCAAAAAAAAAATAACTTGGTGAACAAGTTATACCCGTGGGTCTGGTCAGCAAAAAGTACCTGGAATATAATGTGTGAAGATGAGTCCCAAGTCAAGGGATGAAACAAATGAAAGATGAATAGGAGTGTGTTCAACATACAACAGATGGAAGTTTTACCTCCGCCTTCAGGCTCAGCAAACAGCGTTTGTACAAGAGGTTCTTTTGCTTCTTGGAGAAGAGAGACAACAGTGTCATTCACTGGATCTTTGTTCTTTTCCAGCCAATTGCAGATGTTGTAAGGCACCTGATGTAACAGCAACAAACTCAGGTTTCTAAGGAAGTTCATTAGAAATACAGCTGCACACAAAACCGAAATACAAAACAAAGGAGAACATGAAGATAAAAAGAAGACTGCTGAAATTTGTATTAAACTTTGCTTGCCAACATGCCTTTAAACTTTTACAATATTTGTTACAGTATTACAGTTTCCTCACTGGCATGGTGGGTTCAGAAATTATGTCAAATTTACATAAAAGCAAATATAAGCAAGCAAAGTTTTTGAAGTCAAAACCTCTTAAACTATAAAGTCAAATGATTAACCAAGGAAAAATACAACACCACTAGATGGTAAATTCTACCTCTAGCTGTAATCAACTAATCTTTGATTGGTTCTCATATTCTTATTTTCAAAAGGCCGAGAGAAAACAAAAAGCAACATCATCAAAAGAGCAGATTTCAAATCAGAAAAGTCAAATCACTGACAACAAGGTCTATGTGTATTCCGCTACAGCTACATGTATGATTAGCTGAAATAAATTACAAATGTTATCAGTTATTGGTGAAGTGATCATCTTCTCTAGAAAGTGGTAGTAGTAGTAGTAGGTTACTGCATCTATGTCCTGCTACCTAATATCCCAGAGATTACCTTCCTCATTGGCACCTGAGATAAAGACATGTGATATGATATGGTCCTTGCTTCTACTTAGAAGTTCAATACAGCCCTCATTGAGGGGGTCTCTGTTCTTTTCTACCCAGCCTTGGATACTGTATGGTACCTGAGGGCATCACAAAAGCATGCATGCACACACACACACAATGGCACAATGTAGCAATTCTTTAAATCCTCAATGGTCTGAATTAAATTCCAAAAATGTCCTAGAGTCTTCAAGTTTTTTAATGATATGTCTTAATTAAATACTAGTATTAGTTACCAGTCCTCTGAAACATTTCAAGACAACATCATTTAAGTGTTTTGAGGTTTTTTGTTTATAAAGAATTCAAAATAATTTTTTTTTGAAATGGATATACAAGTACTTTGGAAAAAAAAAAGAGTATCAACTTACAGCACCAGCATAATGGTACAACTCAAAGTGGGCCTCGTGCTTCCTGTCCTTGGATGGCTTGGGTTTGCCAAAGTTTGGAGACTTGCCCATGTGGTTGTTGTACAGCTTGTCCTTGAAGGTGTCATCAGAGGCCTTGGGGAACATGCACTCTTCCTCAAGGATGGACAAGATACCCATGGGCTAGAAGGGAGAGAAAAGGGAAAAGCCTTTGAAGAGCCAATGCTTCAGAACACACTTTTCAACAAATGGATGACGTTTTTCATATTTCACAACAATAGATTGTTAAGAACTGCTTTGATCAATTTTCTCAAATTATAACTATGTAGTACAATTTATGATAAAACTCACCTTCTCAATAAGGTCGATACAGGCCTGCAAGTCCATACCGAAGTCAATGAACTGCCAGACAATACCTTCCTTCTTGTACTCTTCCTGTTCCAGTACAAACATGTGGTGGTTGAAGAACTGCTGCAATCTCTCATTGGTGTAGTTGATGCACAACTGCTCAAAGGTGTTGAACTGAAAACCAAGGAGTTGCAGAATGTGAAAGATAATAGTAAAACAAAGTTGTCCTTCGATTGAATTTAGCTGTTAAAAGAGAGTAGGTAAGTTGATTGTGAAAAGTAAGTAAACAATTAGCTCTCAGTAGAAATCAAAACACACATGAATGCAATTGCCAGTTATAATGATACTATTAAAAAGTTGAACTTGTCAATTTACCTCAAAGATCTCAAAACCAGCAATATCCAGTACACCAATGAAGTACTGTCTCTTGTTCTTTGTATCAAGAGTCTTGTTGACACGCTGGACGAGCCACTTGAACATACGATCATACAGAGACTTGGACAGGGCACCCACGGCATATAAGACCTGAAAGTTATAACAGTAACAAGTCAATAAAGTGTTGTCAGCGGGGGAAAATCAAAGCGATCGTGCCATGCATTGTGTAAAAATCTTACAAATTTGGAAAAGTTACATGCGCTATCAAGTTTGAAAGGTCTGGAAATTCATAATATCAAAATTTAGCTTTGTTGGCATCATGCTTATGAACTTAATGATTCTTATTTTCATTACAGCTCTCTGCATGCTTTTAAACATATATAATCCAAATTTACATGAAAATATTGCATTTTAAAATCGTACTTTTACAAGCAGCTAAGAAATAGAATGACACACAAAGATGCTGAGGAAGATGTTTAAAGGAAAGGTTAGTGACACAGGTGACTGTATAGCCTTCTATACCCAACAGTTGAAAGGTAGAGTGAAAAAATTGTGGTAAGGAAAACTCTGAAAGGAAAAGGTGGGATAAAACACCAAACCTGACTTTGACTAAAATAAGGAATGGTAAAATATGATGAGGTGAGGTGAAAAATATACTTCTTCCTGGTAAAGTATGGAGTACAGGTTAAGGTATGATTTAACAATGTGGGAGCTTTGAGTTTAACAATTTTAACAATAGGAAAAGTGAAATGGTGAATTCATAAATATACTGATCTTGGAGTCATACAGGAAAGGATAAAACAATTGATAGGATGAAAGGGAAAACAATCTTCAATGGAGTACCACATTTCTTTAACGGGGTATGAATGAGATGGCATATCCATGGTGATGGGTGGCTGGAAAGAAGAAAGAACCAGTAATGGCTACCTTCAAAGGAATGACTGGAGAAGGTACAAAGTGGTGAGAGGGATTTGGAAGGAATTGCAAATGGGTTTGTAGAGGATGGAGAATAGACTTGTGAACAACTGCAATCCACAATCTCTAGGTTCTGGTTGGCAGCAAGGAAGTGGGAGGGTGGACACTGCCTTGATGAGAGGTCACACCTCTATACCTGATTCAAGTTTTGACCCTTGGTCACAAATTCATTTCCGACTTTCACTTTGGGCTTCAGAAGGCATTTCAATAAATCACCAGCATTCACACCAAGTAAAAATGCTGCTTTTTCAGCCTCTAAAAACAACAAGTAAGAAAAGCTCAGTCATAAGATGTAAATGAAAATGAAATTAAGAGTATAAAACTTATAAGACAAAACAAGTTTTTAGTATCATGCCTACAACTACAGAACATTGTACCTGAGCCAATGTTTGACCCTTGGTGACAAATTCATTGCCCACTTTCACTTTTGGTTTTAAGAAGGACTTGATCAAGTCACCAGCATTCACACCAAGTAAAAATGCTGCTTTTTCTGCCTCTATTGTAAACAAAAAAATGTGGTTGAGATGAAAAATATTTCTAACATTAGGACAAGTCTTCCTTTTTTGTTGATGATTTAAAAATTTTACTATAAAATAAAATAACACTGAATGAACTATAAAAAAAAAATCAAAAAATCTTTCATTATTTTATTGGACAAGAATGAATAAATTAAATAAAGAGGAAACCTGGCACCTGGAAAAGTGTATAATTATTAGCATTGAGACAATGTCATACATGACATAGGGTTGTTTTTCTACAATAATATAATCTTTTGTGATATATCTTTTAATATTTTCTGAATTTATTTAGAATAACTGGTTCTAAGATTGGTTTAACATTTACATTAATTTTTTTAAACTTCTTCAATGTAAGGATTTTATAGAAAGCAGACAAGTTTTGAAAAATTCAACATCTGTTTACCTGCTGCTCCATCAGCCTCGGCCTGCTCCTCACGTGGCCTCTGTTTGAACTTCATCTCACCAAAGTGCAAGATGGCAGCTGTGCACTTGTACAAGCTCAATTTCTCCTCTGGTGTGAAGCCCAGCACATCAAAAGCTTCCTGTTGAATCAAAATAAGGCTAGTGTGAAAGTAACTAAAAATGATTGACATTTTGGAAGTGAACATTAAATCCATTATCTAAATTACAGTATATACAGTATATCAGGAAGGGCTGTAGAAACTTTTTTTTTAAAGATTCACTTACATCAGTGATTTTCATCTCTTCTACATCATCAATGCCATCTACTGTCAAGACACCCTGGTTGATAAAGCTGTAGAGCCCAGCATCAGGAGAAACCAGCAGCTTTTCTGTTTAATTAAAACATGAGGCAAAGCTAATTAGACAATGAACTTTGCTGGAAGCCAACAAAAAACAAAAAAGTACACACTTTAATTGCAAATGTATGGACATTTCAAATCCTGAGCATCTTTTCTTGTTTACATGAAACTATGCTAATTACAGTATCTTATTTAATACAATAAAAAATCAATTGACATTTTTGAGTTTCATTTTTTTTCGTAAATCCAGTGGGTGCCTACATCACCACTTCTAACCTGAAATCAGAGCATTTCAATTGATGCCACAATCTCCACTCTCTCATTCTCTCTCTCTCTGACATATAACACATTATTCTAGTTTCCTCACATACAGTTAGTAAAGATTATATACAGAAGTATACATATTTAACTGAATAAAATAAAATAAAAGATAAGGAAGGGGATCATGCAGTTCACTTACCTGAAATCCTTTGCTAAGCAGTTAAAAATTTTTTTTCAGAATATTATTATAGCCTTACCACCCATCTAATTAATTTCCAATATCAATTAAGATGTATGAAATTGTTATTGAAGAGATATCAGTGAGATTTGTTTTCTAAATTGCTACAACCACAGGAAAAACCCACAACTAAACTTTATTCCAAGTCCCAATTTTTGTTAAGCAGAGTATAGAGAGTCTATATAGAGTAAAACTTCTGACCAAAGATGAGTCTCTAAATTGAGAGAGAAATAGCTTAAGCTTACTGGGGTCATATCATCTTACCCACAAATCCATCAAATGCCCCAGAGCATAACTGGTAAAATATGTGGTAATTCCTTTCAGCTTTTTGCTGATAAGTCACCCTAGATTTCTCCAATAAATCTGCAAAATTGTATATCAATACATTATAGTACCAAAGACAAAAACTAACATATCTGATCTACTTTATTGGACTTACCCATGTAGCCGGGGAAAGCGTTTGACAACAGCTGGTAGAAAATATGGTAGTCACGCTCAGCTTTTTGTTGGAAGATCACACGAGACTTCTCTAATAGATCTAAATGAGAGATCAAACAGAGGTTGAAGAGATGAAGGTTGAGGGACCAAAGTGAAGGGAAGAGGGGATAGGGGATGGGAATCAAATAAACACTTTCCAGCCTGTGGGCCACTAGATCCTGGATACTTGGCATCCTTCACTCACAATATCTTTTTTGAACTCACCTGCAAGGTCTGGCAATGAGTTACACAGAAGCTGATAGAATATGTGGTAATTACGTTCTGCAGACAGTTGGAAGGTCACACGAGATTTCTCCAGCAGATCTGTGATATAGTAATATAAATTTTTGCTGATGAATCATTTCACTTGAATTCAATGTTTAGAAGGGGTTCACAAACCACAGCAAGGCAGCATCTTTCCACGGCAAGCCTTTCATGCATTTGGGTATCTCACTTCAGATGTTGGTAGGTATAATTACTGTACTCAAGGGTAGGTGCATATTGTCACCATTATCATAAGGGTTTAAATAATAAAACAATATTATTGGTGCTATATAAAACCATGGTGAGAGATGCTTCTATATACCTAGGGTAGGGTGTGCCTTACTCAGCAAATATTCCACAGGTTATATATATACATCAGGTGATAGGTTCTGCCAGCTGACTGGTGTGATCACCAGAACTGAAGAAGACCTTAATTGACAAATCAAATCATAATACTCTCTGAATCACACACCTCAGGGCAAACACACCAGAAAGACTCTGGGAGTGCCAATGGTAAAAGAAAACTGTGATAACTCAAACTTGGGGGACAAAGAAAAGAGATTACCAAGGAGAAAACTATTCTACAGCGTCAAACTAGTGAATGAAGTTAAAGGGGTACAGAAATGTCAAAGAAAAAAAACTATATAAAGTCAAACAATTGGAGAAGAAAGAGAAGTGGATAAGTAAAAGGGTATGATTCCCAATGCAGGTCTTGGGGTAGGTAACATAAATATTTAATTCTACTTCTACTTCACTATAGGTACTTCAATAAACAGTCAAAAATTTACATCTCAAAGTAATATGCTATAGTAACTTCTATAGTAACTGTAATTATATATGATGACAGAAAAATGTTACATTTATGTGTAATTATTTATTAAAACCTAGAAATATTATCAGTTGATCATGATTGTTTATTTTTTACTCCATACTTACAATGCTCAATGTCTGCACCAGCAATTTTACCCTGGGTACCAAAGTGAATTCTGATGAATTTACCCTACAGGAGAAGACAAATAAGAATTAAAAAAAAAATGAAATAAAAAAAGAAAAAGAAAATAGCAAAAAAGAAATAAAAACACATTTTGTAACTGTACATCTTACTTGCTTCAACAATTTCCACAGGATTTCAGTTAAAATATCCCACATACTAAATGACAACCCTGAATCAGTTCTCAAGAACAATGAATGACAATTACTTGAACATAAAAAATAAACCATTTAAAACTAATAAAAAGAAAGACAAAACCAAGAGGACAATACAAGATGTTTTCTTCAAAGTGATCTGTTCACCACAAATAATTGAATTCTGCTGCATCAACTCTCACCACAAGTAAAATATGAATCATATCTACATTTTCAGAAACACTCGCCAAAAATGCAATCTAGACAAAAAATGCTACCTACATCACAGCACTGCACACTAAAACAAAATCACCAATTAAACTATATTTAGAAATATAGGTAGTGATGTAAATCTTGTACATGTATATTTATACCCATTTACATCTATATCACTGCAAACTCTAAAATGAAACACTACTGTTCTTAAATATGAATGTGCTTCCATTCATATGGTCTAAAAGGATATCAAGCAAGAGGTCTGTATAGAACTGGTAGCTGCTAGAAATATAATAAATCTTGAATAAGGTAACTTGATTTGAATTCCTCATTCATATCCCCAAATCAAAAATTGTGTGACCACTGAAGTAATCTAGCAACTACTAGGTCCTGAGCAGGGGTACTCACAAATCGAGAAGAGTTGTTGTTTCTGATAGTCTTGGCATTGCCAAAGGCCTCAAGCACTGGGTTGGCTTGAATAATCTGGTCCTCTAAGTTGCCTCGCTGGAATGGCACACACATGCAAGGGAGTGAGAAAAAGTAAGAAAAAGAAGAAGGCAGTACATCTCACACATCAAAAAAAAAAAGAAAAGAAAAAAGAAAAAAAAACATCCATGCACTGTTCTTCATCTTGCAGCTTCCATTTGAGGTTTGCATTAGAATAGTGGCAGCTGAAACAAAGATGTAGGGTTGACCTGTTTGAGGGTTCAAACAGCAAATATGGTGGCAAGATGGTGCAGAACACTTCTATACTCCAGTGCATGCGGGAAGGGACAGGATACTCCCTCTACTTACAAAACGTGAAGAGTTGTTGTTACGGACTGTTTTGGCATTTCCATAGGCTTCAAGTACAGGGTTAGCCTGCACAATTTGGTCCTCAAGTGTACCCTATAAGATTTGAGTAAAATGACATTGAGATGTTTGTAAGCCATGATAAAACAACAAAGCAGATAAAGCTAATAAACCATTCTAAAAGTACTTACTACATAAAAAGTATTTTAAAAAATAATTCTAATAAGTGTTAATTTTCCAATATTGTTCATGGTATATACCTTTAAGATGAATAGAACAAAAATGAGAATGAAATGCACATAAAGTGTAAACATTTTTCAATTGAAGTAAACCATGTTATCAGTATATAAAAAAATAGATAAAAGCATAAATCAGTGTTACACTATCACTCCATTGCTAGAGGTAAAAAACATAGGGAAACAGTAGTGATAAAATAAAACAAACATATACCTAAAATAGAAAATATACCATATGCAAAACAACCACTAGAGTATTATATATATCATGATCTGTGTATCTAAGGAGTCAGACAGTCACAAAGGAAAAGTAAGGTGGTAAGTGATAAAAAAACAAAACACTATTAACTACAGGTATTCTTCTCCATCATGCAAGGTACAGATGTACATCCAGTAGATGACAATTGAGGATTTTCTGGTGAAGCAATGTAGAAAGTACCTTCCAGGTTCAAAGTAATAGGAAAGACAGTGAGGCACACAGACAATATAAAGAGAAATACACAAAAATGTGATAACAACAAAGGTTATATAAACTGCATTTTGGGATCATACAGTACAGGAGACAACAATGTGGGAATAGGTGGTGAACTGGAAATATCAAACAGAAAATTAGGATGGAAACAAGACACAAGTGGGAAGACACATGCTTGACCACTCTCCAATTTGCATTCCTTTCTACCTTCTTCTTTCCTTCTTCAGCCTCTGCGGTACCCTCTTTCTTTGCAGCAGCAGCGGCCACAAAGGCAAAGTACTGGATTACTTTCTTCGTGTTCTCAGTTTTTCCAGCACCAGACTCACCACTGATTTTAAGAAAGATAAAAAAGTCAAACATCTAAGTTACATCAAAGCGTTAACAGACAGGACATAGGTCCGTCTGAGCATTTTTTGTTTTGGAATCCACTTTTGTGACACTCCCCATATCTCATCTTGGGAACAATCAAAAATGTTTCCCAGTGTCCTGCAGGGAGCTTCAAAAGTAGTTTCCATCACATGGTGGCACTCTTATTGAGGCTACTGAGGACACTTACGGTATCAAGGGGAGAGTCTTTAGTCTTTCCAGCTCTTGCAACTTGTGCGAAGTACTGAATTACTTTCTTGGTATTTTCAGTTTTGCCTGCTCCCGATTCCCCTCTGGATAAACCAAAGGAAACAAGACAACAGTAAAACCCACAATTTATCCAAAAAATTACCCTAAGCCACATTGTGCAGTGAAATAACCAGCTTGCATTCATTTAAATGGTTACAAGAACACTGAGAGTTGCAACTTTTCCTAAAAATTCAATTACAATTTAATACATCACTCAACTAGTTCTGTCATAATGTGTGTCAGCAGTGTTATTGGCAATACTTACGTAATCAACATGGACTGGTTCTCACGATCTGTGGAGGAAAAGAGAAGGTTCCAGCATTAAATTAAAGGTGCAAATACACACAAAAATGGCTTTGTTTTCTAACATTCTAGAGTATTTCTTTTTTACTTTAACTTAAAAAAAAACAATTTGGCTTTTATTCTAGCTTGAATGAATACCAGGACTCCATAAGACAGGTGCATCTCCGTTGATACAGTAAAGTGACGTTTTTTTTCTTTTAATCTGAAAACTCTTCAATATAACATGAGTCTTCAATCTTTAAGACACATGACAGCAAATGTTTCAACCTTTATCGCTCTAGTCTTACAATTAAGAACCACCTGAAAGAGAACATTTAAATATCACAGTTGAAAAGGTTATATGGTAGACAGTGCAGGCTACATGCAAGGGTTAGAATAATGTTAAAATAACCTACATTCTAAATAATTACATTGAAGACTTGAATTAAACATTGTAAACTCAAGTTCATTTAACCTGCTTAAAAATGCATCCACCTATGACATTCACTTACCTTCTAACATGTTTCTATATGTATTATCTGTGATAGCAAATATATGGGGTGGTACTTGTGAACGCTTTTTGCCTTGGTATTTCTCAATTACAGCTTTTGTGTAGATTGGGAGCCATTTGTAAGGGTTGACAGTTACACAGAATAGTCCAGAGAAGGTCTGCAAATAGTGGGGGTGAGGAAAAATGATGTTATAATTTGGAGATGAAAAACTGTTACCTGTTCAGTTTTTCTTTGACTTACCACACTTGGAATCCTTTTCCTTTATGATGTGTCCAAGCCCATACATTTTGAAATTTTGCATGCAAATATACACAAATATTACAACTCAAGTTGAGTATACCAGAGTTGCATATATTTGGCAAAAAAAAAAACTGAAGCAAAAAGTATAACGCATAAAGCACATATGGACACAACATGTCACTGGAACAAATACTCAATAACATACCTCCAGAGAGGTACAGACATAACATTAACACAAGACAAAAACATAATGTATAACATGCAAGCAGGATGACGAGTATGAAAGGGCCTAGACGGACATGCATTTAGGAATCCCAGACTAATCTGTAATTTTGCAGCATTGGATAGCTGTTAAAGCCTCTAATTTGGCTAGAAATTTTAAAAACAATTATATTTCCTAATATCTAAAAAAGGCCATTCCTTTGACATGCCCTGGCACTGCATTGGCTTCAACCAGTATTCTTCAGCAAGAGTTTGGGAACATAGAAAAGTTAGCAATACAAAGACAATCACATATGCAGCTACACAAAAACCTAATCTGTAGAGCAGATATAACAATGGGCAGCACATGGAGCAGAGAGCCAGAAAATCATATATCCAGTTTGCCATTTGTGCGCTTGTCTATTAGCTGTCAGAACCTGCCATGCAGCAGAGTTTTAACATTTCCCACTTCTCAACGAGAACTCTGTTGACTTACTCTGCAGCATGTTGGTATATGCCATATCACAAATGGCATACACATGAGGTGGCATGGAACTTCTTTTCATTCCTCGAAATTTGGCTATAAGTTCCTTAGTATAGATAGGTAGCCATCGATAGGGATTAATTGTAACACAAAACAGTCCCGAGTAGGTCTGGAAAATAATTAGTTAGGGGTGCACTAAATTAGTAAGAGAACAGAAAACAAGAAAGGTATCTGACTACAAGAAGTGTGGTAAACAATACAAATTACCTGAAGATACCCTAGTATCAGTGGAAACTGATTTAAGGTATTAATCTTCACAGTAATAGACAAAAATGGATGCAAGTGGGGTAAATATGGGGGAAACAGAGAAATCAATACCAAGTCTGGAGCTCTTTGACTATAAAAGTTTCATCATAAATTGGTAAAATACTAATTGTTGAATTTTTTATTTTTTTATTATTATTATTATTATTTTTTTTTTTTTTTGTCACACTACAGTAAATGAAACTCCAAACTGGTAAGCAACAATGACAGTGAATTGAAATCTTCAATGAGAAGAGCTCACTGAAATAGAAGACACTTCAAAATAAAACAACATAGAGTTAAGTTATAGAATCACACAGCAACTTGTGAGAAGGGTGCAGAAAGTAAAATTTCAGAAAAAAAAACTTGATTATGTATATGACACAGGTGACAAAGGTTTTTTAGGGTTCAGTGAATTGTGGGGTAAAGTCCTATACACTGAGACTGAGGAGTAAAGATGCTGATGTTGGGTCACACGGCACTGCAGGATCTAAAAGAGAAACTGGATGCAACAGAAAGAAAAAACACAATTGAGTGTTGTACATATAGGGAGGTGGGGAAATGCAAAGGGGTGGGGATATATTCATGCTGTAAAACTCAACCTGCAGCATGAAACAGCTGTCTCTCTCCTGGCTCCTGGTCTTTTACTTACTCTGAAGCATGTTCTGATATGCTACATCACAAATGGCATACACATGGGGTGGCATTTGAGAGCGTTTTTGGCCCCTGAACTTGTTGATTACACTCTTCTCATAAATAGGCAACCTCTTGTATGGGTTAATTGTTACACAGAATAGTCCGGAATATGTCTGAAAAGGGGGTTGATATGAGGAGAAATGATTAGTGGTGTTTCAATAGGTTGGTTATGATGGAAAATTCAACACACAATGAGAAAATGAACTAATGGTAAGTGTGAAAATGAGACCCCCTCCCAGATGATTCATGGACAGGGACATCTAATAGTCTATTTTCAAGTAATACCCTTGAGGAATATAAAAAAATTCAGATATTTTTTGGTTAGATATAATGGTTATGTCTACAAATAAGATTTTTGTTTTTTTTTTTAGTTTGTAATTGGTTAATACAAAAGATAATGAAAAATTTCCGGATATTGGTTAGAACTTGAATTCATGGGAAAATTGGTAAATGGTTAACCTAAAAATTGTTTTGTTCAAATTTTGTCAGATGTTCTAGTTATTTCACTAAATTATCTGATAAGATTTCTAGAAGGTGGTTATAAACTACGCCCAAACACATTGCCTAGAATGCTAGGTCTTTTTACCTTGCAACATTACTGAATATGCACCATCACATATTGAATAAAGATGGGGTGGCATTGCACTTCTTTTAATTCCTCGATATTTTTGAACTATGGCCGCATTGTAAATTGGTAACCACTTGTAAGGGTTGACTGTGACACAGAACAACCCTGAATAGGTCTGGAATGAAATTTAATCAACCCATATTTAAAGAAGTCTGCAAGCCTCAAATGAAATCTAAGGAGCCCATACTGAATAATTCAACAAATCTCAATGGGATTTTTTTGAAAATTCATTGAAGAATTGAGATACTGGTAGGTCAGTGGGCTTTATCAGGCCAAATCAATGAGAGTAAGATGATGATATGAAATGATTTTAGATCTTTGATGAAATGATGTTGACATGCCAACCTGGAATCCTTACCTGCCTACATCTTGTACAGTGTGTACAGGCACTTCAGGATGTGTGTACAGGATGGGGAGGGGGTGGGTAAAGACTGACACACTGTCTCAAAAATATAAAAAAGGTTGAGAAAGGGGTCATTGGATAACTTCTAGTTCTTTTACATTAAGATACTGGTTGGATATTCATGGATTGGTGTAAAAAATGGATACAGTCCACAATAAAAGGATGGTGATGGATGAAAAGGATTTGGAATTGGTTGGAATTAAACACTTGTGAAAAAATTGGGGCATCAAAAAAAATGTATAATATACACATGGTTGGAATGGAGGATGCAAGTCAAGGAGTGTTGAATACCACACTTTACCTTGCAACATGTTGCAAAATGCGAGATCACAGAAAGCATACAGATGTGGAGGCATCATGGTCCTTTTCTGATTTCTATACTTTGCAACAATCTCGGGTGTATAGATAGGCAGTCGCTTGTAAGGATTGATAGTGATTGTGAAAAGTCCGGAGTAGGTCTGAAAAGCAAATAAGGTGACACGGTCCCTTTAGAAGGGTTGATACACACCAAATGGAGGACTCCATTACCTCGGACTGAGAACCTGAACCTTAAATGAGAAGACAAGGGTAGGGGTGCTTACATTAGCCATGCAGTGTTGGGGAACTGGATGTTTTGGGAAAAGAAAAGAACAGTAGAAAAAAAGAAGTGATGGTTTAAAGGTGACCTTGTTTTGGGTTCTGGTGGTTGATTTGGTAAAATACTTGTTGGTTTTATCGATATTTGTTGGGTAAAGATAAAGTCATGGTTGGTTATTATCTGAAAATTTTGACCAAATACTTACCATCAGACACTGAACCATTACCATCAGACAGTGAACCATTCCTTATCACAATATAATATAATACCTAGTTTGTTGAACAGGAATTCTGCTCAAAAGACTTGAAAAAAAAAAAAAGGGTGTGCTTTCACCTGGGAAATGTGCAGGGCATTTGGTGGAACAGGAGAGTTTTTTTCAAAGGGTATGTGGGAATTTGGACATATTTTGATATGGGGCACTGAAGTAATAATGTCAACCAATAAGAGAGGGTTTTTCAAAAGGTCTTGGGATATTCTCATATTACCTCTCAGCATGTTTTGAAATGCCTCGTCACAAACGGCATAACAATGAGGTGGCATTTCAGTCTTTTTCTTGAATCTGTATTTGTCTACGATGCTCGGGGTATAGATTGGCAGTCTCTTATAGGGGTTAATGACTATACAGAATAGTCCAGAATAAGTCTGAAATACAGCACAAACAGCCATGCTACAGATATTTAGACAATACATATGTACTTCCATTTACATTTCATACAGTAAAAGCTAGTAAGCTTACACTAATTATCAGCTCTAAAAGCACTGTGGAAATATTTGCTACATGTAAAAATTGTATTAAATGCACAGAACATCATGTAAAGTGATAATCAAAAGCTGTACATGTAATATTATTGCATAGAAAACATTGAAAAAAAGTTCATGCCTGCATTTGCTACTTTAAGCATATTATATTCACATATACTGTACATCAATACAGAAACGGCTTATAACAAGAGCAACAAAGTTCAAT